CTTTTTTTGAAGATTCCAATTTTCCATTTCTCAAGTATCATCGTTGTTACGCAAATTCTATGATTTTGCAGAATTCCAGCAAGAAAGTTCCAACTACTAATCTAATAATATCCTAGTTTCTGTCCGAGTAATAATCAAATAAAGTATTTCACTAATCTAATAATATCCGAGTAAGATCATAAAGTCAATCATGTTCAGCCTCCTAGGTTATGTCCTAGCACCGTATAACCAAAACTGTAATCTACGGTCATCATTTATCAAAAGGGCAGCATGAACACGCAAAAGTTATTCCAACTCATTAATTTCCACACTTACATAGAAAGTCCAACTTTCTACGCATAGGTGTAAGGAAAAAACAGACAAGACCAAATGTGCTCACCACAAGCAAATAAGGTGATGTAAATCCACCATTTGGAAACTGAAATAACCTACTGTTTCCTGTCGCAAGTGTTTCCTATTCAGTTGGTTAAGCTACACTTTCAAGCCTCCTGGAAGGGAACAAATTAATGGATACATACATGCACTTTTCTACTCATGTTGCAATATAGCACTTATTATGGAGTCAGAGAATCAAGAGCCCCAAATTTCCTATATGACACTGCCCAAACATGAAAAGAACATCGTTACCAGCTGCTACTGAAAATAGTATTTGCTATTGGGAAAATTTCCTTTTTCCAATCAGTGGTTCTGAAAATTCCAACAATTCTTTGTATGAATTAATTAACACCTTTATTCATGTATTCTCTGTTAGGTGATGATGTGAATTGCAGAGAGTTTATGAGCTAGAGATGAAGTGCTCGAGCTAGGGAAAAGGGAAGTCACTTTGTGCGATAATGATTTTCTAAATAAATTCTATTTCTGGCTTCCCTATTGCTATTGGAGTACATATATTCTTGTTCCTCTTTGGTTGCATTTGAAAGTAAGACAGTCTATTAGTTTCTAAACCATTAAAATTATCAACAACATCGCTCAATTAACAACAAATTCACAACTTCAAAACCAGGAAAAATAAGGGAATCAAAATTTGTACCTGTTTGTAGGATTTGAAAAAGAACCAGAGAAAAATCTTTACAAATATTCAAGCTTCTTCTACCATATAGAGGTAAAAAAAAAAAAAAAAATTAAAAGGTTAAAAAAGATTTACCTGAATCAAAGATGAAAAAATCAAAGAAACCAGTAAGCTGAAGAAGGAAGCCTTTTGTGATCTTATTTGTGAGGTTGCAAGGGGTTTTTATAGACATGCTGGCCGACAGGGGATTTCTATTCTCATCCCAAAACAAATCCGGAATCAGAGAGGAACTGAATTGCCTATTCATATTACAATTCCAAATTTATGGAAATATATAAATAAAAATTAAATAGTAATTTGTAAGTCCTATTACACGTACAACTCCAAATCAAATAAAAAGGTAATTTCCTAATCCTATTCCGTCCAAACACCTAGCTCCGCCTCGCTTCTCCGTCATGATGTCCACCGTGATACGATACATGCGGTTGCTCCCCCACGAATTTGATCTCGTACAAGTGAAGGAAGTCATTCTTGCAAAATCTCTTCGACGGGGTGACTCCGGTGGAATTTAGAGTTTTTGTTTGGTTAAATTTGTGGATGTGGAATCGGGATGGTACGAATTGGAGAAGCATGTTTAAGGAAAATATATCTTCGAGGTTTAGTGGTGGCGGAGGATGCAAAGAGGGAAGCGGCAACGGCGGCTGAATCAACAAAGGGAGACCTGAGTTGGCGGAGCACTGCCTTGTGGAGGTTATTAGAGGAAAAAAAATTGGGAACAATGACGGGGGCTGTTTTCGGATTTTAAACGGTGTGAGTTATTTTTTGTTTTTTTTTTTTAATTTTTTTTCCCTGGAGAAGCCCACAAAACGAAGTCGTTTTGTTGCTGTTTTTTAACCAAAAACTTGCAGGTTTTGTAAATATATTGTTTTCAGAAGTGGGGATTCCAAAGTTAAATCCTGAAACGACGTCCTTTTATAGGTTAGGGGTTATTTTTTCCAAAAGGTTACGGGTTTTTTTTAATTGGAATAAATTTAATTTTTGAATTTTCATTTTTGCCCCTAATAAGTCGCTGACATCATATCAACTCCATCCGACGGACGAGATCGATTTGGCGGTGGTCTTTGAATATTTTTTTGGTATTATTTCTTGTTTACTGTGCCTTCTATTGAAAATTATTTATGAAATTCCTGTTTTATCCCTAATAAGTCGCTGACAACATATCAACCTCATCCAACGGACGAAATCGATTCGACGGTAGTTCTTGAATATTTCTTAGGCATTATTTTTTGTTGACTGTGCCTTTTATTTAAGTATAAGGATGAATATTCGAGTATATATATAGAGAAGTTTACTATCCGTGGTTCTGTTTGTGCTACTATATTATATATTCAAGACATCATCATTACGAACGTACACTATAATAAAGGAAGAGGGCAAAATCTACGACACGATTCAGTGATCAAATCAATATATATATAACATGTGTGTACTATATATGTCGCTGATATGCACCTTTGATGGCATATACTCTTGGACGTATATTAGCCATGAAATTGACCTCTTAATAGATAACTCTTCAACATGTTTCAACCTGTGTTTTCAAAATCGGACCGGCCCGGACAGTCTAACTGGTTAGCCCGGGAATCGAAAGTCTTATCGATCAAGTTTTTATAAAAAATTGGATTCTGTATAATCCGATCAAACTCGGTCAAACTCAGGGCGGTTGAACCGGTTTTTACATATATTTCTTAAAAAATTAATTTTTAAATATTTTTTTAATATTATTTTAACCGATTTTCACTGATTTTGAAAAACAAACTAACCCGTTAACTCGATAAACCCACCAACCTAGTCACGCTAACGGTTTACCTTCCGGTCCGGTTTTGAAAACATAGGTTTCAACCTCTGTGAATACACAAGTCCCGTGATTCGTCCTCAGTGGTCCAAGTATATATTTGCTACTGACATTGCACAAAACATATTCTTTTCTGAACATAAATTCCTTTCTTGCACAAAACATATTCTTTTCTGAACATAAATTCCTTTCACCATCATTGATGAAGACGTATACCTTAGAGATGATGGTAGGAGTTTTTGTGATGCTCACTGGTTTGTGCACCAATTACTGGATAGAGTTGTAAGAATTGTTTCACGTGTCGAAAACTGATACGAAAATCAAGTTGCCGACAGTGGAGGAGGATGACCGGAGATGCACGCAGTAGTACGGATGCAATGTGGCATACGAAACGGACTAATTTTGCGAGCATTCATGCATGAGAGATTAATCAAAGGAATTGGGTATTTCCCAGGAAAAAAAAAAAAAAACAAAACAAAACGAACAAACAAACCAAGGAATTGGGGAGATGGTGATTAATAGAATTGCCTTGTGCATGTAAGCACACTCATCATGAAACTGATTTCGCCCTAAAATACCTCCGAAGTTATTTCAAATAGCTTTATGTATGATTATTTGTTGTTTTTACTAAAATGTTACATCTCGTGGATGGAGCTTAAATAATTAATTTTGAACTCTTAATGATTAGATCATGCACTTAAACTATCAGTTAATTTTTGGTGGATATATCATATTCCCTCCTCTCCTACAGTTATAAAATACAAAATTTACCAAAGATAAGTTTAAATTTGTACATTATCAAATAGAGCTACACAAAATATCATCGTAGCAATATACTTACGTACTACTCCCTCTGGTCCTTAATATTAGGTATTTTGATTTGTCTTAACTTTAACCTAGTACACATTTTTAACACTACAAAAAAATGAGTAGTTTAGACTTTTTTTTTTTTGTCTCAATAAGTGGTATAATAAGACACATGTGACTCAAATTGCATGGGACATTACTAAATAGTGTCTCCTATAATCGAGTCACAATAAGTCATAAAATATTTAAAAGTGTATTATTAGATTGTCATTCATTAACACATTTTAAAGTGACCCATTAAGTAAGGTAATAGTTCACAAGCAACCCCAAATAGTACACTTATGATAGTGTTTCATAATATAAATACACTTTTTCATTTTCAATAAGACACTTTTTAGCAAATGTCCTAATACACATATAATAAGACACATTTTAAGAAAAATGTCCCACCATAAAGGTATTAATAGCCCATTTTTATTGTATTATAACTGACAAAAAAACCTTAAAAATATTTCATAATAATCAAGATCAAGAGAATACAACGAATGTGAAAATATAGTTTTAAAGTTTTTTTGTCAATTAAAAATACCTATTAGGTAAAACCTAAGACAAACCAAAATGACTTATATTAAGGACCGGAAGAGTATTTTACTTTACTAAATCACTTATCGAGAAGTGTAAAGATCGGAAAAAGTAGCATACACTTTGAAGTGTTGCACAATATATAAAGGATCCTTTAGACTTGATTGCAACAAAACTTAAGATGTACGTAGACAACGAAAAAGCAACTTGTGGAAGTGAAGAACTGTGTTTGCTATCTGAAAAATTTAAGTAAAAGGTGGTAACAATAAACATTTGAAAAAAAAAAAAGAATTTGGGTAAATATAGGAGATAAGTAAAAGTTACGAGATAACAATAATATTGTTACAAACATGTGGTAACATTAAACTCTAAAACTGAGAAAAACAACAAATTTGGTATTGTTACTACGTGCCAGTCCCATCCATGCTCGTGAAAATGAAACCTTATCGTGGAGACGTCGTCAACTAAAGGCTGCTAAGGCCTAAGAGCTAAGTGCTACCAACGATAAGGTAATTCAAGTTTTGTTTGTTTTGTTTTTTGATGGTTTTTTCATAATATTAAAATAATAATTGTCTCATTTGAGCATATTTTTTTACATTCTCAATACACTTTTTTATATTCTCAATAAAAATATACCTAAAAATACGTACTAAAAAAAAGAAACAAACATACCCTAAAATTCGCTTGACCATCTGTTTTCTTTGTTTTACTCTTCCTGTCTCATGAACTATTTTTTTTTTTTTTTTGGATAGAGGCAACATTTGTTTTAATAATCATTAAAGTAATTGCTCTATCCATTAACACAATTTGGCGCCTCAATTCTATTTAAAGAACCTCAGAACCAGAAGTTAGCTCATCCCACTTCCTACCTAAGCTAGCAAAGTACAAAACAATGGCTAACTCTAGTTACCAAACTTTGCTAGATGGCCCCTCAAAAATATCCAATAGTGTCAAATTTCTCTACATTCCGCTCTCCTTAATTGCCATCTTCGGCTCAATAGCTCTATTTTCTCACACAATTCTCAACAAAACCAGCGAAACTGATGTTGTTTCATCGAAAGCCCGTCTTTGCAGTCATGCTTATGATCCATCCTCTTGTTTGGCTGTTCTGTCCGAAGTGAGTCATCATTCTCCTGGATTGCTCCAACAATCCAAAGATGCTGACTTACTTCGGATGGTTTTAGCAAAATCATCGTACCATATCCGAGAAACCATGGAGTTTACCCACCATGTTACGAGTCGGATGAATGACATAACCGGGCGGGCTGCATTAGCTGACTGCATGGAGTTGATGGATATGTCCATGGATAGAGTGACGGACTCCATGGTGGCTCTCGCGAGTATCCAAACGGGTTCCAACTCCCATTCGGATATCCATGCATGGCTGTCTAGTGTTCTCACTAACCATGTTACGTGCCTGGATGGGTTGACCGGGGCAGCCCGTTCGGTGATGGAGCCAATGGTGAATGAAATGGTATCTAGGGCCAGAGCTTCGCTGGCTGTGTTTGTGGCAATTGCACCAAAACCAAAAGATGAAATATCGGAGCCATTAAAAGGTGATTTCCCATCATGGATTACTAGTAAAGATCGGAGGCTCTTGCAATCCTCGGGTCAGAATATCAATGCAAATTCGGTTGTGGCGCAAGATGGAAGTGGGAATTACCGGACCGTCCAAGCTGCGGTCGATGCTGCTCCTAGTAATTCCCCAAACCGTTACGTAATCTACGTGAAAAAAGGAACTTACAAGGAACAAGTTAATATAGGAAAGAACAAGAAGAACTTGATGTTGGTTGGTGATGGACAGGATGCCACCATTATCACTGGAAGTTTGAACGTTGTCGATGGATCTACCACCTTTAGATCTGCAACTGTTGGTAAGTGAAACCTTTTAATATCTTACTTTTCTACATGCAGTAGTTATTACTCTATCTATATGGTCATTATTTGAAGGCTTTTTTTCTCACAAGTTTTATTTATTGTGTTTTTCCCAGTGAAAATAAAATTTCAATTTATTATATTCTCTCAATTATTATAAAGTATTTTCATGCGTATCATTTCTAATTTGAAAAAACATGATAGATAAAACTTAAAAATTAAAATATCTTATAACACTGATATATTGAATGGAGTGTTTTATTTTATTTTATTGATTACTTAATCAATTTACGCTTAAATAAATATTTAATAACTCAATACTCCTAGTCACGTTCAAAAAAAAAGTCCATATTGTACTATTTTTAATACAGATCAAAATTATTTTTCTAGAATAGAGAGTACTCTGTTTGATTACTTACTTAATCGATCATTTGTGGAGATTCAGGTTGAGAAGGATCGTAAACTTAAATGATGGTCCGCGGTGAGATCGTGGGGAAAGATAATTGTCATTTTCTCAAAAGAAAGAGAGAAGGATATTGCCAATATTGAAAGAATGTTTTTGTCCTACAAAAATTGGCAGCTTCCATTATTTCCCTTTCATTAAGATAAACGAACACGTATGAAAAATAAAAATTTATAAGACATAATCTTTTTAGAATTTAAAAGAATCAGAAATTGACGTCTTCTTTTTGGTACAGTTATTCAATAAACGAAAGAATGGTTTCTTCTACACATCCATAAACTTTAAACGCGATTCCACCTTTAGAGTTTTTTAGTGTATACTTACAGTATTGATCGTTGACTAGAGGAAGTAAGAATTTGAAATTTTACAGCCTCCAATGAGGTGACTTGTCAAAGTTACCAACCAGCAAACTGCAAACCATTGGGGAGTTTCTTATATGTTGATTTTTTTTCTTAATTCATTTCAGCTGCTGTAGCGGATGGATTCATAGCCCAAGATCTCTGTTTCCAGAACACAGCCGGCCCGGAGAAACACCAAGCCGTCGCACTTCGGGTCGGAGCTGACCAATCGGTGATAAACCGTTGCAAAATCGACGCATTCCAAGACACACTCTACACCCACAGCCTTCGCCAATTCTATAGAGATTGCTACGTCACCGGCACTGTCGACTTCATCTTCGGAGATGCCGCCGTAGTCTTGCAAAACTGCCAGCTCGTGGCCCGAAGGCCCATGAACAACCAACAGAACATGGTCACGGCCCAGGGCAAGACTGACCCGAATACCAACACCGGAACGTCCATCCAAAACTGTAACATAGTCCCCAGTTCGGACCTTGCACCCGTTAAGGGATCCATAAAGACATTCCTGGGACGCCCATGGAAAGAGTATTCCAGGACGGTGGTGATGCAATCCAGCATTAGTGATCATATTGACCCGACGGGGTGGGCCCCTTGGAGCGGCGATTTTGCACTTAATACCTTGTACTACGGTGAGTATATGAATAGAGGCCCCGGAGCTGGAACTAGTGAGCGGGTTAATTGGCCCGGTTACCATGTTATCACCAGCGCGGCGGAGGCCAGTAAATTCACGGTGGCGCAACTCATTCAGGGCGGTCAGTGGCTGAAGAACACTGGAGTGACCTACACTGAGGGTCTCTAATTTTAGTAAATAATTAATATAAATAATGACGCCTTTGTTTGTGTCGCTCTGATATTCTTAAAATGGTGCACCAACTATAATAATATTTTAAGTTGTTTAGTATCTCAATTTCGTTAATAAATGCTATTTGTAGTAAGAAATAAATTGTTATGCTTCTATTCTATTTCTATGTTTTGAGGTGAGTTAATAAAATTGTATAACAGAGACATGGTCAAAAGGGCAATTAAAGTACGTACTGAAAAATGTGATCGGCTTACAACAGACATGTATTGTTGCCTTGTTGCAATAAGTTTGTCTTTCTTTACATGTACTAATAATTTTTGGGTTATTCTGAAAAAAAAAAAAACTAAAAACTGAATAAAATGCATTGGACAAATTGGAAACCTTACCATTTTCGCAAGAATTAAAGTACAAATTTATTTGTCTTTCTTCCCTTTTTTGGAATTTGATATATTGGGCCTAACTGGAATAGGCCATATTTAGATAAGAAGAAAACCCCAATCGCAGCTCGGGCCTTTGTTGGTATCCATTTTCTCGTTATATATTCCAAGATCCCATGAAATAGATGTGTGTGTGCTTGGAAACCCCAAACAAGCAAAGCATACATGGTAATGGTTATGAAGATTCCGCCTTGGCTTAAAATATTCCAAGTTGACATGTGTTGTTGCCCAATGGATCATTATGATGTTGGAGTTTTGTGATAATAGCTTTGGCAACTTGCCATTTCTTTTAATTCCCAATAGTGAATCTATCCACATATATTCATTGGCTTTTCAGAAAGAGAGGCTTCCTGTAAATGATAAGCATGAGCAGGTTAGACTGGTGTGAGTGAGTAGCTTTTTCAGCCCATTTCTCGTGGTATTATTCTTCTCCAAAGAGCAAACATATCTCAAGTTACTTGCCCAAAACTATGAGCTATAAGCCTAAAATTGCTCGAAAAACTTTGCTGGAAAAGAAAAATGAAATAAAAAACCACACACACAAAGATATTAGGGTTTTGGTTACCAAGGAGCATCTTTTTTTGCTAACTCGTCTTTCATAATTCATACCCTCTTGCTATACGACAAGATTTGCAGATCTTATCTACTGACATTGTCATCAAACATCCGAATTGTTGTTTTTTTTAAAAAAAAAAAAACATATTTGAATCTTGTTGATAACTTACCTTTCACTTATTTGTTTGCGTTTTTTTTTTTTTTTTGGTTTTTAATTTGTGCTAGTATGCACTCGCGATTTATAAGACAAGGCAACTAATTAAGGAATACTGATCAGTATGTGGTCCTCTTGCCCGAAATTTTGGTAATGTCAAAAACTCCGTTCTATTTCTCATCACCAGTTCCAAATGCGATGTGACGGGTATCGAAATCGAAAACCCTTCCTTATCCACTGATCTACAGCCTGGCTTCTAATTATCTATCGCGTTAATGCAAGCTCATTGTTGGTCCAACTTCATACGCTACTGATAACCTAAATCTGCACAAACATTTTCTTTGTGATTTGTGAACATAAATCCTAGTCAACCCACTAATTAAACATAAGACGTGTTGATTAATTTCTTGATATATGTAATAAGTCAAAAAAAAAATTATGGACAAAAATTCTTAGTGACAATACCTATATAAACTTTCTGAAATCTTAGTAATTAATCTTTGAAATTTGAGTTCTTAATCTGGAGGCTGGAGCTGCAATGATTAGGTATAATCAGTCTCACGTTAGTGGAGGTGCCATACTTGATGGAGTACAATTAATATTACACAACGTGTGTATTTTAATAAAACCACTTTCCCAAACACTAACAATATTAAAATTTCAGAAGAACCCATGATGAAAGTAGTTCCTTTAACATAACTTTTGCATCAACGTTACACTTTAGTTATTCATTTAAAATCAAGATTTTTTTGTATACTTTAAGAATAAATTCGGCGTTAGTTATTATTATTCTAACTCATATTGAATGGAAAGTCACGATCAATTATCGTAAGATTGCTCATAAATTTTATCAAATTAACTTTCCCGTATATATTACTCCACTATTTAATGGGATTAAATAATTCAACTTTCAGAAACGAGGTTACTTTATATATTTCCATTTCGTCTGGTACGTCATTGTATCGTTTCGATCAGGTTATCTAATAAGTAAATTACGCAGTTAACTATAATCACACAACATGAAACTTTGTTTCTATATCAAAATACCCTCTAAATTCCAATTATTGAAAAAAAACTTCATAAACTATCAAGTTGTCACAATTAAAATAAACGAAATATCACTTTTCTTATATATAAATTACGACCAAAATCATTATATAATTAAAAAAACTGGCTTATAATGAAATGCATGTAAAAATGTAAACATGAGCGTAACTATTTTTAGATTTGGAAAAGGTCTAAAAGTTTAAAATAAGAGTATTTCAGCAATGTTATTGTCATGTTTTGAATTCGGTAATATAAGGAACTATTTCGACGCAACTGCAACAGTTTAATACATAGGGGCATAAACAAATGCAATCCAAGCTTTACAGACTATATTAACATAGGGATAAACTTAAAGTAATAGGTTTATCGTTTACAATGAACTCTGAATACTGAATACCCATGTTTTTAAAATGGGCACAAACAAAAGATTGGCAGCCACTTGCCTCCCTCACGTGAAAATGAAACATTATTATGGATTCGTCCTCAAAAGGCTGCTATATATATTAGGATTAAGATTTTCATTCGTCCCAAAATTATTATATTATATTTAAATATGATAGATATTTTGGAATAAAAAGTATTTGTTGCGAAGAAATTTCCTCACTGGCCATAATAATTGTATAGCTTTAATAATCAATAAAGTAATCGCCAAATGACCCAATCCAGAGGAGAGGACACAATTTGACTGCCTCTTCTATTAATTCTATTTAAAGAACCTCCGAACAAGGAGTGAGCTCAACCCACTAGATAGCAAATTTAAGCCAAAAACATGGCTAACATGGCTTACCAATCTTTGCTAGATACTCCCTCAAAAAAATCCAACAACGTCAGATTTCGCTATGTTGTTATTGGCTTGGCAGCCATCTTAGGTACAATTGCCATATTTTCTGTTACGGTTCCCTTCAAAACTAGCCTACTTAGTAACGATGCTGTTTCATCAAAAGCCCATCTTTGTAATCATGCTTATGATCCCTCCTCATGTTTGGCTGTACTATCCGAAGTGAGTCGTCATTCTCCTGGATTGCTCCAGCAATCCAGCGATGCTAACTTACTTGGGATGGTTTTAGCAAAATCATCCTACCATATCCGAGAAACCATAGAATTCGCCCACCATGTGACGGGTCGGATCAATGACAGAACCGGGCAGGCTGCATTAGCTGACTGCATGCAGCTGATGGACTTATCTATGGATAGAGTCATAGACTCCATGGTGGCTCTAGCAAGTATCCAAACGGGTACCAACTCCCATTGGGATATCCACTCGTGGCTGTCTAGTGTTCTCACGAACCATGTTACGTGCCTGGATGGGTTGACGGGGGCAGCCCGTTCGGTAATGGAGCCGATGGTGAACGAAATGGTATCTAGAGCCAGAGCTTCATTGGCTGTGTTTGTTGCAGTTAAACCACAAAAAGAAGAAGAAGACGCAGAAACGCTGGACAAACCACTTAATGGTGATCTTCCATCATGGATCACTACTAGAGACCGGAGGCTCTTGCAATCGTCGGGTCAAAACATAAATGCAAATTCGGTGGTAGCACAAGATGGAAGCGGGAATTATAAGACGGTTCAAGCTGCGGTTGACGCAGCTCCAAATAATTCCCCAAGTCGTTATGTCATTTACATTAAAAAAGGAACTTACAAAGAACAAGTCAGTATCGGAAAGAACAAGAAGAACTTGATGTTGGTTGGCGACGGGCAGGATGCCACTATTATCACCGGAAGTTTGAACGTTGTTGATGGATCAACCACCTTCAACTCTGCCACTGTTGGTAAGTCAGACCTCAATAATTTCCTCATTTATGATTTAACAAATTAATGAATTCATTTTCTTCCAACTATTCGTGAAAAAACAGTCCAGTCGTACGTCTTAAATGTGTGTCTCATCTGTTTTTCTTTTATTATTGCCCGCACTCAGTTCTCTTTACTCAAATTAAATCATACTAATCTGTATTATTATTTTTTATTTTGATATGATTTGCAGCTGCTGTTGGGGACGGATTCATAGCCCAAGATCTCCGTTTCCAGAACACAGCCGGACCGGAGAAACACCAAGCCGTCGCACTTCGGGTCGGAGCCGACAAATCGGTGATAAACCGGTGCAGGATCGATGCGTACCAAGACACTCTCTACGCCCACACTCTCCGCCAATTCTACCGAGACAGCTACATCACCGGCACCGTGGACTTCATCTTCGGAGACGCCGCCGTGGTCTTGCAAAACTGCCAGCTCGTGGCCCGCAAGCCCATGAACAACCAACAGAACATGGTCACGGCCCAAGGCAAGGCCGACCCGAATACAAACACCGGAACATCCATCCAAAACTGCAACATAGTGCCGAGTTCCGATCTTGCACCGGTAAAAGGATCCATTAAAACGTTTCTGGGCCGGCCATGGAAAGCGTATTCCAAGACGGTGGTGATGCAGTCGACCATTAGTGATCATATTAACCCGGCCGGGTGGGCCCCCTGGGATGGTGATTTTGCATTGAAGACTTTGTACTACGGCGAGTATTTGAACAGAGGACCCGGAGCTGGAACTAGCCAGAGGGTGAAATGGCCCGGTTACCGCGTTATCACCAGTGCGGCGGAGGCCAATAAGTTCACGGTGGCGCAACTCATTCAGGGCGGTCAATGGTTGAAGAACACTGGAGTCACCTACACTGAGGGTCTCTGATTTTATTTTATTTTTTAAATTAATCAAAAGGAGTATTTGTCACCTTTTGCGTTTCTGCTGCATCTTTCATCAATAATGTACCAGTAGTATCTCTTTTCTTCTTTTGCTCTTTTTTTAATCACTAGTTCGCTCCAGCCTAGAAACCTAATCTGTGTTCATGACTCATATGTACCATTAGCCTACTTTGATAATTTATATAAATATAAATAATGACGGCTTTTGTTTGTGTCTCCTTGGATATATATATTCTTAAGATTGTGTTGTGCACCAACTACTACCATGGTATCACTTTTTAATCTTAAAAACATATTCATTTTTAATGTTGGTGCTTCAATATTTTCTGGTGTCATGTCTAGTGAAAATAAATCGTTAAATTCTTTAATATGGAATCTACCTAAACTTTGAGGCAGGTTAAAATTGCACAATAGAATACACTAATGATTTAAAAATTGCAATTAAAGTAATAATAAATAATAACCAAAGTGGTTGTGGTGGAGTGGAAGGGACTCTTCTACCCTTATCCATAAATCAAAAGATCTAACCTCGTCATGGACATGAAGTAATCTTAAATATTTTGGCTAGTTATCTCACCCATCGAGTTGCCTACAATTCAGCGAGGGAGATTAGTCAATGTTGCCGACGATGGACACTCTGCAAATATATATAAAAAATAATAATAATAATAATAAATAATACGCTTCAGGACTTCGTATTACACAACTATTTTTCTCCGTTTGTGCTACTACTGGGGACATTCTCATTTCTTCTGGGCATGCAGTTCGTGGTTCAGCAATATACGGTTTGCAAGATATATAAATCCCATAAAACTTTGGCCCAAAAAAATAAAACACACACACACACACACAGTTAACACTTGACAAAACTGGAGAACCTTTATTCATTATAAAATCCCAAGTCCAAGCCTCAAAATGGGGAGTTCCCTGTTATTACAACTCAGCAACCTTTCTCTCTTTTCCTTTCTCCGTGCTACATTTTTCTGTATTCTGTAATGACATGTGTTACTATTTTCTTCTCCTATGACGATTTACAATTTTCTTGTGTGATTAGCTTTTCTGATGATGATTTTACTGTAAACATTCTTTACAAACTATATTGCAACATTTTGCAAATACCTTGGTTAGGCAAGTTCTTGTGGTCAAGGAACATGTCCTGCACCACCTCTCTTTTTAAGGATGAGAAAACATGGTACAGCAAAAAGCGTCACGTTGTCCGAGGAAGGTGGCATGAATATCTGAGGTTACGATGCATGGCTAGGGCGTTTTGTAAGGCAACATCCGCTGTCGAACCACCCTTGAAGAGTGAGTCGTATAACTGGCAGACAAACTGAGATAACTCCTCTTCTTCGTCGTCCCAGAAACTATTCGTCTGCTCTCCATTTTTCTCAGGTTCAATGTCTTCCCAGTCACTTGTCGGACTTACAGGCACTTCTTCATCTTCTGGTTCTTCATCTCCTATCTCAAACTTCCCATTATCTACAGCATAAGGATCACCTGATCCATGGAATGATGTCAACTGTATTTCTTCAGGTTCTGCGGAAGGGCATACCACAGCTTTAGCACCAGAATCAATAAGTGCTTTTATTAATGGCGGTGTGGGCCCATAAATGCCTGTGAAGATTATAATCCTATCCCTCCAAGCTCCAACCTGGCAGCGAATACAAGCGAAAGAACAGATAAGCCAAATTCATGATGAAACAATCCAAATATTCAGCTGTTTTCCACTCCATCATATCCAGATGGAACATCATTTGTGCAAGTCTCTTAAAGAAGGTATTTGAAATAACACGAAACACAGGTAAAAACCAGCACGCAGCAAGTGTTGCTCTTTTTTCTTTTTCTTCTGTCCATGAATAATGAATATGTATATAGCTATTTTGATTAGTAATGCATAATCATAAGGAAGACCAAGAATTAAAGCAGAAGTACACACTGAAAACACACCATTAGTCGGACATCTTCCCATGTCAAGTGCACAGAAGGAACTGTTCTGCGGAACATATAGGCAGCAATTTCTCGATCATCTTCCATAACCTTCAAATTACGAAACATAATCAATTGTCAGCTATTACTAGGTAGATTTTAAAACCCACTCAAGTCCAATCGCACAGAGAGAGAGAGAGAGAGAGAGAGAGATGCATACTTGTGTCTGTCGACCGATATAACGATGAACAACACCTCCAATTTGAAAGTAGGGCCTACAGGAAACCAAATCAGATACCGTACATATGTTTGCAATGCGCGATGCATATTTCCTTCTCCGGCCTCTCATCACGGTAAGTAGACTATATTTGACACTCTGCAGAAACTTGTCAGCTAGTTCTCCAGGTTCAGCAACCACAAAAACATCATTCTGCCAACTACAGTTAAAAGACGAAATAAGCTTGGGACGAAATTAGTTAATAGTTTGCATGAACTCCTTGAATCAGAATACTCTGAGGAATATGTAAACCTTAATATAGAGCCATGCACATCATTTTGCAGCGCCAAATGGATAACTCCAACTTGTGGTGAGTTACGAAGTTTTTCATGCAATGAAAGGACAGGTATACTAAGCTGTCTGCGTCTTGCGGGCGAGTCAGGTGGTGACACAGTTGTTTTTGCAGACTGAGGACCATCCAAGCTTAAAGGAGGAACTAAATCAATCCTACCAATCCTTGAGGAACCAAAATCAGGACTGTAAAACATAGGACTCGACGGAAAGCTCCCAGTAAACAAAGGTGATGCATATGAAGTTGCAAATGTTGATCCTGCAGCTCCCTTCTGGACCCCCGATACATCATTCACCAATGATAACCTTATACCAGAACGAGCACAAAATGTCTCAAGAGAACGGGCATGATGAAAAACTCTACCAGAATCTGGACTATTTGAAGCCTCAACAAGAAGCACACCCCGCCTCCAGCCCAAAGAAGGGCTATTATCACCTGAAATGTGCAAATTTAAAAGTTAGACATCGAGGCCACAGAAATTAACTAACAGATGAGTTTGGGTGGAAAATGATAAGAGGCTGCGCAGACATTATACCTTTTGCTTTTGAAAGTTGCTGTGACTTAATAAAATCAGGAACTTTATCGTCACTTGAACTCTCCAGCAGCCGTTCACATAAGTTCTTAAATGACATTGAGTTTTTCTGAATATAATCATCAGTTGCCGCCTCTAATTTCAACCAAACGGTTGGATCAGTCTCATCCAGCTCCATCTCACAGCGCTCATCGACTGCCACAGTAAAAAGAATCAGAACTCTTAGTTGAGAGTAAATCATAAACTTCAAAAAACATTAGCAAATCAGGAAATGTGATGATCGGCAAGCTTAACTCTCTGAACCCAGACTTATCTTTTCAAATTAAACCCCTATTTGAATGCTTAAGAACAAATCAAGGAAACTCTGTGAAATGAGTCTCAACTTCTCTGGCCCATATTTCTTAACATGTAAAAACCTTTTTTAATAAATCACTATGGAAAAAGCATTTCAAAAGCAGTCTTTTTCAATTTTTTTCTGATGCTAAAAACAAGGGGAAGACGAACCTCATGAGTGAAATAATTTCAACTCAAGAAACACTGAAATCAGCTTAGTTAGAGCAAACATCGACAAGAACTAAGTTCCAGAGCAAAAGAAATGACGGGTTTTTAAGCTTCAAAAAATGTGACAGAATCCACAGCGCATCCAAATAATGTACCTGGATTAAACCGAAAGTATTCTACATCAGGAAGCATAGTCAGCAATGTGCTCAAAGCTTCCTCCACTCTATCAACTGAGCATGCACTTTCAATTAACACCTGACCAGTATCCAGATAACGCCATCCGCCTTTACGAACCTAGTGGAATAATTACAGAGCGTTAATAAGAATAGAACTAGGAAACAAAATCATTTTGACAAGTAACATTATCCAACTTAGCTTTGACCAAAAAAACTTCCTTCCTATTCAGAGCTCCATTTCAGGTGTAAGCCTATAACAAATTCTCTCAATTCCCAGAACAAAACTTATACTCTTGTTAACATTCTGGGGGACTCTCAGAAAGAAACATATACCTTTGTTGGGACAGAACAACATCCAAGTGAAACTAAACTGTCAATTCGAGCATCCGGCCATAATAGTTGTGCTTCCCTAATTGCAAATATGGTGGGATTGTTTGCCACAATTGCTCCATCTTGCCAGCGGTATACACCTATGACCGAACGGAACAAGCACTTAACATACAGAATAAAAAAAAACTTCAAGTTGACCACAGATTACAAATATCATGATGCTAGAGACTAAAGCAAAGAGACAAGTACCATCAGAAAAATCATCGAGGTAATATGGTGCTGCAGAAGATGCTCTTATGGCCTGCCAAATGTGATGCTTACAACTTCCAAGAAAGGCATTTCGTTTGGATCCAACCTGAGCTCCAGTGGTTGCAGCTCCTAGGCCACCTGTAGCCAAGTTTTCAGAAACCACAGAAGAGATCTCCGGTGTCCCAGCAGGGTACTGCACAGATCAACCAAAAAAGAACATGAGAACGAGCTGTAACGGCAACACAATAATATGATATGTTGATGATACCCTCAAAATGCACCTGGTAATTGCGGAATATGAAAGGCTGAGCTGGAGCAACACTGACAAGAGTCGACACCACAAAAACTTTGGGAATTCCCTTTACAGCTGACTCTATCAGAAGATCCCCATCCTCATCAGCACACATCTCCTTTAGCAACCTCTCAAACTGATCTGCACTGTGCTGGAAGAAGAAAAAAAAAAATTGGTCTATGAATTTCAGATATAGACATGGATATCAACCACACAACAGCAACAAGCAAGCAATAACCCTGGTGACTGGCTATATAGAGCATATTATGCCACCGGTTTTTGCCAAAACACCTTCTCATCTAAGTTACATACAAATTATAATACGTCTTTTTAAATAGTTTCTCATCCCTTCTCATTTCAAATTGAGTAAAAGATTCTTTATTTGCCATTTGGGCTACAACAAGTTTATGATATCCCTTCCCATTTTCTTGGAGGATATTCCCATTGCTTCAAACTTTGATCCACCTAATTCATGTCCATTATTTTTCCCACTGTCCATTATTTTACCTCAACTAATGATAAACCCTTGTGATGCTACTGCATCTCTCCTAGATTCTCTATGTCAGTTAGGGAATGCCATATAGAAAAGTAATCCCACCCATAAAAGACACCGATAAGACAAACAATGTTGCAAAAAGTTTTTAGGTCAAAACAGATCATACTTTAGATCCGTGCACGACAACTCTGAAACTCTGCGATGAGCTCTTGTACAGCTGATCCAATTTTTCTCTCCAACTTGCTGCTTCATTGTCCTTCGGAATTGGTTCAGCAAAAACAAGTTTTCCTGACAAACAAGGGAGAGAAAAATAACTTACTACCCTTGACGAATCACAAATGGTATCCTTTTTAGTGAAGAAAGCATACCTAGCTTTTTGTAAATCTCCTCACATTTTTCCAAGGACAACTTTTGGATTCCAAGAGCAACTGCAAGCATGCCACCAGTTGATGTACCACATATAAGGTCAAATAGCTCATGTATCTGCTTGCCTGTACCCTTCTCAATTTCCTTAAGCATCCTGACTGTCGCCAAACCTTTCATGCCACCACCATCCATTGAAAGAATACGCAGGCCACGTTTTGGAACCTGCCTGCCTCTAATAGCACGCCTCAAAACCTCATTCTCCCCTGTGAATCAATAAGCAAGTGTGACTATTTCATACATGCTAATGGAATATAGATTTACACAGATTTTTGGTGATAGGCAAACCTAGTATAGCTAAAGCACGTGCTGCAGCTTTATTCACCCGTGATTCAGATGCAACAGTCAGCCGCAGAAGAAGATCTCGCAAACTTTCTGAAGTAACTAGTGTACGACGATTCTCTAAGCAAAAAGCCAAATTCCCAACAGCAAATAAAGCCAATCTTTGCACCTAACAAAACAAACAATAATATTGTACCTCTCAGTAACAAAGGGAAAAATAACACGTAAAAAGACAGTTAGCAGTAAAAAAGACCCAGGACAAGAGCTTTAAAAGAAAGATGCCTCTTTGTTTTTGTGTCCGCATAGTGTCTTCAAAGATTTCACTAGATCCTTTGTCAACATTTTCTGTGCAACAATATCAGATGTAAAGGCCAACTTGACCACCACTTGCAACACAGAGATCACTTCTTCTTCACTTGCAGATTTTAATACTCCTTGAATAGGTTGCATTATGTCTGACTTTATCAACTGCATTGCCACTGAAACATCTGAAGCAAGGGAAGAAAGAGCAGAGCAAGCTTGCTCAACCTAGTAAATAGCTCAAACATTAGACCACATACGCGAAAAGAAACTAAGACTAAGAAAGTAAACCACATACGCGAAAAGAAACTAAGACTAAACAAGTAAAGAACAAGTTAGCATACCACATGCTGATTGTCACTACTTATCATACTAATGAGCTGCCTCACAGCATTCTCATCTTTTCCAACAACTACCCGGTTCCCCTCATCTTGCATTATTTTTGCAAGGGCAGATGCAAGCAATGGATGGTGACAAGAGGAGAACCGGAATACGAGAGAAAAGAAGGCACTAAGTTTGTGTCGGGATGCAACAAAGTACGAACTATTCTCCGTCTGCAGGAAGCACGAAAGGAAAAAAGAGTGTTTAGCAAGTCAACAGAGCATACAAGAACAAGCTAAAATGGAACTTGTTATCCAGTACCTCTATTTGCACATTCACCGATCTCAAATTGTCATCTGCAACAATCCTAATGTTGGCAAGGGATAAATGTCGAAGTCTATGCAATGGCAAAATGTCAGGGAGAAATTCCAAGGGATTCCCAAATAGCCTTAAAACATGCAACTCAGCCATCAATCTGTCATGTGCACGATAAAAGGTTTAATGCGTGAGCAGAAATGAATCAAGATCAAAGTTATGGAATTCAGAGCAAATATGAGATCTTGGAGCAGTGATTAATAAAGCTCGCATGACCTGAAATCCAGAAGCGGCCGCACCAATTTGTTGTGCTCCAGAGACAATTCAACTAATCCATCGCACTGTTTTAGCTCAACTTTTACAATTCAATCAAGGTCAAGGAGGAAAACCAATGCAATCAGATAAAAGGGAAAACAAAACAAAACAAACCAAAAAAAAAAAAAAAACAAAAAACAAAATACGTCCCTGTAAATTTATTTAAACTGAGAAAACTTTTGCAAGTTCAAAATGAGCACACACTCATACTCACAAACAGAGGGTATGGAATTGAAAGAATGACTTGAAGCTTACCAGGAACAGAGACCAATTGGTTAAAGTCAACTGCAAGAACTTTCAAATTTTTCAACCCGCCAAGCTCAGGAGGCAAAGTTGACAGCTTATTATTATCAAGATACAGCTTCTCAAGTAGAGTCAGTTGAGCAACCTCCACTGGCAAGATCTGCAATTGCGAATCATGAACTCCGTACATCACTATTTCAGTGACAAGATCTATAGCCAGACATGCAAAGATTTCAAGCAGAACCAGGATCTAATTTTCCTTAAAACCTTCAATAGTAAAAGTCATAGCCGAAGTAGGTGTTCCAGAAGCTTGCAGTCTTAATCCAGTCACAAATCCAAAAGATGCAAGCTTAATTGTTTTCATCTATTTGGAGAGTCTAAAATTTTATATTTAACAACTAACTAAAGATTTAAACAAAACGAATGAATAAGAGACTTCATTATGTCACAACCATGATGCATGTCCAGTATTATTCCAGAAAGAATGAAGCAACTCAAGCAACTCAAGAACTTCCCACTTGAACAACCAGAGGCAACTTTCCCTGACCATAGAGTGACTCTAACTCATCCAGAGAAAGGTATATGCAAGCTTTCGAGAAACAAACAAAGCAAAAATGCCAAGTATTTCCATATTTTAGGGGAATTTTTTTCAAAAAAAAAAAATTAAAGAAAGGAGCCATTGATGCAGGAGATAAAAACCCATGAAAGTAGTACAACGTCCAGCCAAAACCATAAAAACAGCTGACAGTACTCACCGATAATCCAAGACCACAAAGGCTGACGACAGATACACTCCTCCAATGCTCTGAACATCCCAAACCAGTAACCCCAGGCCCGACGGCAACTTCAGCTGCTCCGGTCCCACCACCAACACCATTAGCAAAATTTGACTTGAGCAACTTCAGCAACACCCCCATACCATCGCTCTGCTGCCCTGATCCGCCGGACCTCCACATTATCAGTCCCTTCAATGGTTCCCTCCTCCTCACCACTCTCATCTCCACCCCCACCGCCGCCTCAATCCCGCCATTCCCCGATTCCTCTAACTCAACCGCTTTCTCCTTCAATTCGAGTTCGACGGCGTCCTGCGGCGAAGGCAGCGCCACCATGACCTGGGACTGGAGCCGGAGAACGACCTGATCCTCGTCCTCTCCGGCATTCCATTCCAGTTCGATTCGGAAACCCAATTGATCTTGACTGCTCTCGGAAACCACCATTGTCGGGGAAGACGGGAAGGAAGGTGAGGAACCACCGACGCCGGCCTCCGGCAACGATGCGGATGACGATCGCGATGACCTAGGGCTAGCATCGTCAATCCCCTCGTCGGCTCCGTAGCTTAACGTCACGTGGAAAGTATCCAACGGCCGTTTCCAAGCCAGTCCCCACGACATTTCCAAATTAGGTTAATATCTTTCAGTTCTGGGTACAAAATGCGTTCCGATTCAACATTGGAGCGAAGTGAGGGTTTTTTCCCCCCTGATAAGATCACTTGCTCCACTTTAGAGTGTTTGGAAAAGAAGAGAAGAAGAGTTTCTTTTTTGGTTCTGCCTTCTGTTTTTTCTGTCTCAGGTGGGTTAAATGAAAGGGACAACATTAAACGGCACCGTTGGATAAAATATTGGCTTTCTTTCTTGAGTCGTTCTCAGACCGGAAAATGGACTGTCCGGAAGATTTTTAATTATTGCTGAAGGCCCTCTATTTTCCAATTTGTTTTTAATCAGCCTACCAAATTCTGTTTTTGACCTTTTCGTTTCTTTTCTCTTTTCTTTCAAAAAATAAAAAATCCCCTACTAATTGGAAACTGATGCAACAATGAGATGTGAAATGCTGAAGCAGGAGGTTAGATGGAAACTACAGTTCTGCGTTAAAGAAAATAAAAAATTCCAGAAGCTCAAAATTCTTCTAATATAATATGCGATACGGGAAAAAAAAAATACACTTAACGATTTCGAAATTTTAAAATTTAGACCTCCCCTTTTGACAGAATCAACGGTTTTCTAAAAAATAAAATAAAATAAATTCTAAATATACTCTATTTAAATTCCTGTTTATAACACTATTTAAATTTGGGTGGATGTCAATGCCTCTAAAATTGCTCTAGAAAAATAAATAAATCACGGGAGCAGACGTCCTCCGATGTGCGTCTGCTTACTTGAAAAAACACAAAAGCCGCCACCGTTTTGTTGGGTGTATCTACTTCACAACATTTGGATTCGTTAAAATAAAACTTACCTCATAGTCTAATACTCCATCTCCCCAACTTCTTTCTAATTAATTTTGTTTTCCCAAAATCCAGTGGTTTATATTGTCGCCAGCAGAATTTTTTACTCCCTCTGTTCCATACATAATTATTGTCTAATTTGATATTTTACTTCTAATACAATTTAAACTAAAAATGGAAACCAAAACTGTACAAAGGGAGTACTTCAGTCAACACTTTGATTTGGTCTATCTGTGTTTTAATTTGTGGAAAAATCTCTACTTTGTCAAAGCTTGAAATTTTCAACATTTTCTTAGAGTCGTATCTACAAATTGGAAAGAAAAATATGTTACCGGCGAATGCGATCAAACAAGTATGTATTAGGTCATGAAAAATGCTGGGAATTTTTGGTGATACCATAAATCTTAACTCCATTATCAATGAGTTTGGGAATACGAGTTATACAACCTTGTACTGTATATGGTAATTAGGATGGATGAAGTGAATTATGAATTCTCTTATTTCCGATGAAGGATGGTTTTGAATCCCTAAAATTTGACATAGAATCATATAACCGATAATGAGTTACGAAAATTACTCCTCTATCCAAAAAAAATAAATTCATTTTTCATCTTATTTGATAATGTCACGGGAAATATAACACAAATATCGTGAAGGATCGAAGGGAATATTGACCTGTTCTAACGTCTAATCAAGTGTTACAAAAAGTGCTACCTAAAAGCAAAAGTGATGTATATGTGGTCGCTGGCATCTAGATCAATCTCTTATAATTGGATTTTTTTTTATTATTATTGCATTTATATTTTAGAGCCATTGCTAAACCTACAAAGCCAAAAAAAAAAAAACAACACTAACAACAAGAATCTCTTACGAGAAGTCGAGAAGATAAAAGCAGAGAGAATACCAATTTGGATCTAACACAATAGTGAGCAACTAAGAATTTAGAACCAGTATATTTTCATTACATTATTATCCATGGTCTATGAATGGGGGCCAATGCAACCCGGGAAGGAAACTGCTAATCAATTGAAATCTCTAGTTCTACGGCAGCCGAGGCAAATATTTCTTCCAATTTCTCTTTCACTCCATCGCCACCAAAAATGAAGTTAATTGCGTCTCTAGCAAGTTCATACATTTCTTTCTTCCCGATACCTTAGTTAACAGTTCAGTAAAAGTCAAACCAAATTCACGTTCAAACTGTGCATGCATACTGATCACATACTTCACCCGGAGAGATGTTACTTACCGAACGTGGAGGCAGCAAGGACAAATTCATTTGACAAACTAGTTGAGAATACTCCACTGTCATCAGTGCACAATGTAATTGGATGTCTTGACTCATATAAGTCAGCTGAGAGAAGGGAAATTATGGTAAGTGAAATGAAAGAAATATAGATGGCATGCTAAAGTTACAACCAAAGCACAAACACAAGAGAGCAATCAACTAGAGGGATTACTTTTTTGCTCAAAAGATATCTTTGAACTGTGGATAGACATAATGATTGAGAAAGTATACCAAAATGGTGGACATCCACAGACGAGATTGATTCAGTTCTGATGTTTGATGTCAAACAAATTTCAACCTGTCAAGGAGCAAAAGAGTAAATGATCACCAAAATAGAAAAGAAAACAAATCAGTACCATTTCATCTTTCAGCTAATCAGAAGTCTGGAAAGAAAAGGAACTAATCTACAGCAAGAACTCTGATTTTGATGCATCTTATATCTTACAGTTTAAAGGCTTCAAAGAGGATTATAAAATAAAATTCAATTTAAGACAAAACCACAACAACAGATAACTATGTTATTTTCCAAACCATACATTAAACCAGTAGAAAAATAAAGCATATTGAAATACACACCGGGATCTTATACGACTTTAACTTTCTCCAATGATCTTCTTCAAGGAAACAAGCATGACCAATTCTTCCAGGAATAAAATCTAGCATGGCATGAACTTCTTGAGAATTGGGAACCTAGAAGCACTAAGTTAGAGAAAAGTTTGTCAGAATGATTTGTAATGGAACTGCAATAAGAGCATAAAATAACAGGGCCAAGATGAATGAACCTCCCCACAGTGCAGAGTTACAGATAGTCCTTCCTCTTTAGCAAACTTCAGAGCAGGTAAAAATGTTTTCCTAGATATAAACGAGGACGAAAAACTTTACTATGAAGTAACTGGAAAATCCATTTCCCAATATCCAAATGAGAACATGAATGTTAATCTATATCATGAAATTTAATCATGATGAGTTCAAGTTAACTAACAAATAGCGTTACCATTCACCAATGGCCGGGTTGCCAGAAAGGTCAATCCCCACAACCCCAGAACGCTTCAGTCGTAAAGCAAGCTCAACCTTCAAAAGGTAAACAACAACAAAAAATAAGTAAGAGTATTAGTTTCGAGAAAAGACATGAATCGCAAAGATCTGATCTTATAATGCTAACATACAGTTTCCATTGCAGCTTCAGTTGACTCACGCCTATCAATGCTTAAAAGGAGTCTCACATATATCTTTTTCTTGTTACTCAGACAGCACACATCGTTTGTCGGATGAGAATTCCCAGTTGATCCCTCATTTACTTCTTGACCAAAATCGACATCAACATTTTTAACTGCCATTAAACCTTCTAAAACAGCTTGCAAGTAAGACTCTTTGCTCATCCCTATTGATGCATTCCTCTATATATACCAGAAAAAGAGGGAAAAAGTACCTTTTATGTGAAAAATAGAAAATAATCGGAAAGGAGAATCCAAATATGACGACAAAATGGCTGAAGAACCAGATTCTAACTCAGTGATGAAACTATTACACTAGAATTGTTTATAGCAGAAGTTATAAATAGTGTTTCCAGTGTGCGCCTTTATACATTTGCAGTGTTACCTTTGGAGTTGTTCTCAATTCCAAATACACTACATTCTCGGCCGCAAAATCTTCAATGACCTATATGCAGAACATAAAGAATTTCACTGCCTTAAAAACACAACAGCCATGTTATGGCAGTGATCAATCAGAACACATTTTCAGAAGATTTCTTCGCAAGTGTTTAATGCCTAAGAAAGAAAGGACAACTATATTTTTCCACTCAAATCATTACCTCTTTAGTAATTCTTGTAACAGTTTTATGGTCAGTGGTAATCAAGTGAATCAAATCAAATAACTTGAACACCTCCCTGAGCGAACGATCATCTGAAATACAAAACCACAAAGATAACTAGATTCTCCTTGAATCAAAACGTTGACCTTTTTTAAAGCAAATTGAAAAGATACATACTTTTCATAATGACCTGTTCCACATCCGAGAAAACTATACTTCCCTTTTCCCCCAATTCCCTGGCAAGTTCCCTGTAATGTGTAAGAGGCCTCACAACAGTAAGTATTTACAATATCAACTCATGGACAACGAATGCATACAGCAACCGACGTTTAGAGATCAATATTGATAAAATGAAGATATCACAATAGTCAAAAAAACTGGCAACAAATTCAACGAAGTTCTACTTTGTTACTTAATCAATCCTAACAAGAGAATGAATTAGCATTAATTAACACAGAAAACAAGCAATAGTTAGAGATAAACACAATTAAGCAACTGATGATATCAAGATTGACATAAACCGGCAATAGATTCTTAAAATTAATTTTAACCCATAAGAGATTACATAGCATCTACTAAATGCATAATCCGTATCAAAAAACAACGTCAAGTAATGTGTGCTTTCAGTTTTCACCGGAGAACACCATGAAAACGAAATGAGTTCAAGCGAGGTAGAGGTATATGTACAGTAAAGTAGTGTCTCTGATTGAGCCATTAAGATGGGCATGTAGTTCCACTTTCGGCATCATCTGCCACCAATTCCCGGCCGTCGAATCGCTCCGAGTTGCCATCTCGCGGGAGCTTCTAAGGGCTAAAGAAATGGAGGATTTTCCGATTATGGTGGCCAAAAATGCCTTGCTTTATCTGTTGAAGTTTTTGCCCGGCTGAGAGACTAGAATCTCTCATTGACTGGTTGATCCGGAAAGTCAAGAGTCAGAAAAATGTTAAGAATGATTGGGCTGAGGAGAGAAATAAATTTTGGGCGTCTTTGTTATGAGCTGATTCATAATGTGAGGGACTAAATGTAGCCCAAAATAATTGGCCCATAAACATTTTGAGCCATTCCAGTAGAGTAGGCTTATCCAGGGCTGATGCTAGGATTTGTGAACCTGTAAGTGAACCTGTAAAGTGGTGGCAAATAGGATTTTAGAGGATTTGTGAACCTATAAATATGCAAAAGAAAGGTTTATATATATCCTACTATATTAGAAACAAAAACCACACTTTAGAGAAACCACTACTATTTTTCATGTGGCATTTCCACATCATATTTTTAAAATAAATTTTTATTTACACATCTCCTAGACTTAAAACGCAAATGCAGTCCAAATCTACCTTCAACTCCTATTTTCGCAAAAAAAAAAAAAACTACGTGTTCATAAAAAACCCAAATCCTCATTCCCATTTCCACGACAATCGACTCCCTAATCAATCCCTTCTCCACAATAAAGAAAAAAAACAAATTTCTCATCAATCATCAATTGAGAATATGTGGTGAAATATACTCCTTTCCTATTACCATGTTAAATTTTTTCATTAATGATGATCAATTACATCCTAATCTGATAAAATTTCGAGTTCAAAAAATATTCTCTTTACCTCACTATATAAAACAAAGGAAAAAAAAACTCTCATTGATCTTGCTTCGGCCATTATGGTGGTGCCATTACAGGTATTAAAATTTAAATAATTTTATTTTCGCAGATCATTTGTTTGGCTTTTATTATTTTTTTGTTTTTCCCGTTCAAGAATAGTGTTATTACTATTATTTTTATGTGTCCATCCGTTACAGCTACCGTAGCCGTTGTCAGGTAATATGATGTGATTTCTTGTATGGTTAGTTAGCCTAGAATTTTTGTATGATTTTAGTTCTGTTTGGATTGAATTGATTAATTGGATGTTTGTTACAAAGTGTGATTTTTTAAATTTCTTTTTTATGTTTCATTCAATTAGACTGGTTTTCTTTTTTTAATTATGGAGTCTAAGGTTTTTTTCGTATATGGTCAGTTATGAAGTGTGTTTTTTTCTTTGTTTAATTACTTTTGTTTTTGTTTCATACTCTCAATTGACCAATTATTATTATTATTATTTTATTTATTTACAAATGAAGCGCTTTTTTTTGGTGTTCGGCCTTTCAAGAATATACTTTTTTGAATTTGGTTTTTAGATTTTTTTTAGTTCCTCATCATATAAATCGTTCAGGTCGCTTTTTCTAACTAATTTATATGGAAGCTTTTTATGAATTTGAGATGGAGGGAGAAAGAATGATTTTTCTACGTTTATTTGTGTTTTTATACATCATTTTTACCTACAGAAAAAAATAAATTTCTCAATTTTTAATGGGTTATCTTTTACCTTTTTTTTTTAATTTGCCATGGTGAGGTGAGTTATTTTTTGCTATAACTTGAAACCTATGTAAATTTACATTATTTTAATTCTCATATTTGTGATCAACCAGTTTCAACAATTAACCAGTTTTAAAATCATATTTTTGATATTTTACTACCTATAAATTTTTGGAAGAAATAGTTTCAACAATTAAGCGTATACCCTTTGGAGGAAGCTTACTACAAAGCTATTATAAATCTCTCAAGCTAAGTATTGATTTGACACAACCAATGGAGAACATCAATAAATTATCTTACTAATATTTAAACTTATGAGGATGCTTTTATATTTTGTCTTGCATTTACTTCAAGACATATATTTGATCAAGTTTATTTATATTTAAGAAGTAAAACTTATAAAATATTTTTAAACATTTCTAAAATTTACAGATATATTGGGTGAGGATCGCGCATTGCGCGATCAGACATCACTGGTGTATATATATATATATATATATATATATATAGAGAGAGAGAGAGAGAGAGAGAGAGAGAGAGAGAGGAAGCCAAAAACTTGAAAATTACAATGTAGATATCGTTGACGGTTTATCCATCATACCTAAAGCATCTCTATACATACTATCAATAATCTCCTCCGGAGGATAGAGCAAAAGAAAGGTTTTTAATTAGGAGTTTGTCAAAAATAAAAAATTAGATTAAAATTTTTTTTGTTTTTTTAAAAAAAATGTATTTAGGGGCTTGAGGAGGGGTTTGAATAACTTGGGAGATTAGTCGAAATTGATAAAAATGCATGCAGCCATAGAATTCAAATATACAATGAAGAGTCACAGACACAGACCATCTTCATTATCTACCCTAACTACTCTTTGTATGTAGATTACTACTCCTACTTAGTTATTTCCTTTTGGAATTAGTAAATAGCCAGGTTATATGAAATATATGCGTATATTTATTTATTTCAATTGAATAACTTTCTTATCACATTTTAGAGGAAAAAATAATTATTTTTTTTGCGCTCTCACTTGCCTAAAAGATAGATATGAAATACGGGATCATTGGGTCGGTGGATGGAGGGTTTTATTATGAATATTAAAGAGAAAATAGATCTTTTCATCCCAAAGTTTGGGCCACACTATCCAAAACATCCCAAAGTTTAAGAACATGTCATTTACATCCCAAACTTTTTAAAAACATGTTACATTAGGATATTCGTTAAATTTTTAACTCCAGTTAATTAATTAGTAGTGGTACTTTATTCTGTTTCTCCTCCCTCAATTCTTTTAATCATTTAATACGTTCCACTAACTCCCACCTTATAAGAAAATAGTTAAGCCTAATTTGGTCTTCACATCATCCATTCTTCCCTTGCTTAGAAAAAGAAAAAAAAATCCAACATTCACCTTCTAGATTGATAACAATCATAAGAGGTGTTGTGTGTGTCCTAATTAGAAAGTAAGCTCTATTTCATTTATTTTTTTAAATATGTAGCATCATTATAAAAATTGGTGTTGTAATTGATGCAGGGGCATGCAACTTTTTTGCTTGGCAGGGACCAAATTTATCAAACGCAAGCATGAAACTTTTTTGACTAAAAAAAGGGGGAAAAGAAACTGAATGAAATATCGCTGTTAATAACTTGAAAAAATTAACAAATATCCTAATATTACATATTTTTGAAAAGTTTGGGATGAAAATGACATGCTTTTAAACTTTGGGATGTTTTAGATGGTGTGACTCAAACCTTGGGATGAAAAGACCCATTCTCCCGAATATTAAATTATGCATTATTTTACCGGTTTGGAGTTTTGGGGTTTATTTCAAGGACTTCTCTTGGCATGGGAACGGGGTAAATGTCAAGTTGTAGCCGAGCTTGACAGTAGATGTGCTTTGGCGATGGTGCAGGGCAGAAATGATGATCTGGGGATCCATGATAGTCTAGTTCATGACATTCGCGAGCTGTAATTGGAAAGATGTTTGGAGTGTTAGCTTGAAGCATGTTTATCGTAGAACTAATTTTACGGCAGATTGTTTAGAAGATATTACTTCAAGAAGCCCATGTGAGTTACATTACTTATTTGTTCCGAGGATTGAAGTTATACAGTGGTTGGAATATGATATTATCAATATTTTCTACTTTTGGAATGTTGTAGGTCTTATTTGGCCAACATTTATTTTGCTTTTTTGTCTCATTTTATCTCTTAATAAAACTCAATACACTATTCAAATAACATTGTAACTTATTTTTTTAAAAATATTCTAAAAATTATTTTTACACAATTTTCATCCACCACCACCGGACCACCTCCACGACCTACCTCCGCCGTCGGCCGGATTCTGGCCGAATTCCGGCGGCCTTGTCGCCGATCAACGGTGGCCCGGCGGCAGAGAAGGGTGGTCCGGCGGCGGAAGTAGGTGGTGGAGGTGGCCGGTGGTGGTTAAAAAATATTATTATTTTAATTAAAAATCTATCTAAATAACTTTTTAAATTTTTTTTCAAAAAACATTTTAAATCACATCTCAAACTCAAATCAAAATACAAAATAAGATGTTAGACCATACAAGCCCTTAGTTTCTTTAACTAGGTTTTGACCTCTTTATTGTATTTATATATATAAAAAAAAATAAATAAATAGGGTCGCCCAAAAAAAAAAGTAAATATATTTCCAACACGTTAATCTTCTTCTTTTTTTTTTATAACAAAATTGGAATAGTATATTTTTCAAGTTTTGATAGGTTAATAATAATAAGTAGCGCCTTTATTTTGTCATTTTGTGTAGTACTATTATGTAAAGTTGAAGGTTTTGTAGCGAAACATACAAACAATAAACCACTTGGTATCTGAAACCATTTCATTCTGAGATCTCCAAAACATAAACTTTTAATTGATCAAACAGATTCCATCAAATAATGTCAGTACATATACTAGCAAACTAGTAAACAAAATTTAAGAAAATGCAGGATAGCCGAACAAGTAGATTCAATGGCAGACGCAGATCCCATCATCCACTAGTACTGTTTGTTGCAGATTGAATGGCCAATGGTATTAATTAGAAAGGAAGAAGAGAGGCAGCAGGTCAGCTGCCTAGCCAATCCAAGACCAATATGTTTCCTTGGGAATTCAACTGATATAGAAGAAGTAGAGTAGTAGAATCAATTATCAATTGCCAGAAGGCAGAAAATTCAAAATTTGACACCCATATATTCATGTTACACTACCAGCAAGGCAGCAACCACTGACCAATGACTATGAGGCAAATGACCATAACTTCTATCCTTTGTATTTTTTAGTTTTTTCTATCTGCAATATAGTCCATAAAATTACTATGCAAAATGAATGACATCTCTGAAAAGTGTTTCTTTCTTTGCTAGCATTTCTACTAGATTGAAATGATGGGGGGGTTGGGTTGGGTTTCAGTTCGAATTGAATTCACCCCCCAATTAGCATTTACTGATGCTTCAACTGCCTTCTGTAACTTGGCCAATTACTTCAATGTACGAATTACACCAGAATACCTATAGCCTTCTTTAAGAGCATGCATCCATGCTTGTGACTGTGCATTGAGTAGTAATTTTAGCCAGTCCTTGATGGGTCCAAGTGATTTTTATTATTTGGTACTAAGAACTTGAATTTCACAAACGTTATCATAAATAAATATGATCTCCATTTACATTATTAATTTTTAAATTTCATAATATGGATGGGAGTATATTGTTCTTTGTTTCTTTTTCTTTTTTTTTTGGAAAAAGGGAGTATATTGTTGTTTACACTATATTTGGATTTCACTGATGAGATAGAGATTTATGGAGTTAATCGGCAAATCCCAAGGATGCGACATAGAGTTATCATGATAATAGAATTAACGTTCTCAAGTAGTAACATTATTATCCGACCTTAATGTCTCTTTTGTGAGAGTGTTTTGGTTGAGCACTTTCATAGTAACTAGTAAAGGTGTATTTTCTTTCCTTTTCTTTAAAAAATCGCTATAAGTGTCTAAATTAATATATTATATGGGTAAGATTTATGAAAAAGGAGATAATATATATACCAGCATTGAAGAAATTCTACACTAGGTTATATAGTTTAACATATAATTTCAGTTTCATGGATAGAAGAATTGTTAAATTAGAAGGAAGGAAGTATTGATTTGGCATTATTAGCTGTGTGAAGTACAAAAAACTCTTGTTACTTGCACGACGAGATTTTATTGATAGCAACCTTCCTTTCATTTAATGTGCAGGTAAACAAAATGGATTGTGAAGTGTATTCTCATAACAAAATGAGCAAGTTTTCATTATTGTGGACATCATTGGATGGATAAACGTAAGGTTATAGGTGGTTCGATATATGAAAGTGATGTAACTCGTGTGAGTAGAAAAGAAAACCTAACTTGATTGATACCATTGAGTTACGATTTCAAACGTATGTTATTTATAGTAATCAGTTGAGGAATTGCGGCATAAACCTTACCCAAGTTTCACAAACCCACTCCAACCCTTGTTCTTTTATAGTTTTTAGTTAAAGGTCGCTAAACCTACCAGCGTCCTATATATTGAGTTAGTTCAACATGGATAACCCTTAATTTGGTGCAGTGGGTTTATGATTAATTTGCACTATTACTGCTAAAAAAAAAATGAAAATCACAGTACTCCGGATTACAATTTTTTTTTTTTTTTCTGTTTTAATTTCCTATGTTTTGTTTTTATTTACAGTACTCCCGCAATTTCAATTTTAATTGAATATATATGTAGATTATAGATCGATCCCCATCTGTTATATCGTCAGTGATGCCAGTAAACTTTCATAAATAAGGTGCAGCAGAAGTTGACAACTTTGTTATCGTACGAGCTAGGCAATGTATCTGTAGGTTCAAACGACCTTTAATAAGATGGAAGCATAATGGATTCCTTCACGGTCATTAATCACTCCTTTTTTATGTAGTGTGCACTTAATGTACCAAGTTACCGTCCATCTTAATTCTTAAGTATGGTTTCTTTTGTTTTTTGGTCAAATTAACAAGTAAAAGAGATAAAATTTCTATTGTAACAAAAAAAAAAAAAAATCTAATTGATATGATACTAGGTACTAAAGAGGGCAAGGACTAAGGAGACAAGCAAACAATCAAATGTAACCAACATGATTCAACGCAAATAAGGCAGCATGGTCCAATACAACTACATTAAACCATCCGAAAAAAAATAAGCAATTTAATGCTCCCCACTTTAATTATGAGAATCCCAACTAGAACATTCATATCTTTGTCCTGGGCAAAATAATTGCCTTCAAAGGATTCTTCATGACCACAGTGAAAGCGAAAGTCTCGGTCGGGTCGGGCGGGTTATCGGGTATGGGCAACCACTTGAACTCATGAACCATCCTAGCAAGCAACAAATGAATGTGCAACGTACCCAACGTCCAAGCCGGGCAGATCCGCCGCCCGGCTCCAAACGGCAACATTTTCGCCCCCCTCACGCCGGTTATGTCCACATCAACTCCATCTCCGGTCAAGAACCTCTCAGGCCAAAACCTTTCCGGATCCTCCCATATGTCCGGGTCCTGCGTGATCCACGCAGTGTAAAACTCCACGTACGCATCACGTGGGATTGTGTAGCCACACAGTTTCGTATCCTCAGTAGTAGCATGGGATAACACGAAATGGCTCGGAGGATGCCTCCGAAAAGTCTCTTTAACAATGGCGGTAAGAAACGGCATGTTTTCGACATCCTTCTCAGAGATAATCCCGTTTTTCCCAACCAAATCGACGATTTCTCTGTACAGAGTTTCTTGAATCTCCTGATTGGTGACCAAATGAAGCATAGCCCATTCAGCAGCAGTGGCACTGGTGTCTGTGCCAGCACTAATTGTTTCCGAACAGAGAGTAACAATTTCCTCCTCGGTAAGCTTCCCGCGTCCCGTTGGCTGTAAACTGAACAGAGAATCAACATAAGCAGCTCCGATTGGGCTAACCATTTCCACTTTTTCCGCCATTCCCGCGTTAAAATCAACATTTCCACCGCTCTCAACAAAGGCTTTTCTGGCCCTAATCAAAGGAACCAGACAAGCCAGCTGCCTTTTCCTCAGCTGCTTTGCTTCTTTCATTTGGCTCCGAAACAGGGGAAGGAAAACCGGCAAGAAATCAGGCAGCTTTGGGGTGGTCATCATCATCACATCTTTGAGAATGGTTTCGATTTCTTTAATCCATTCGTCGGAGATCTTCGCCCCGAAACAGAGACAAATCAGGATGCTGCAAATTGTAAGCCGGCAGCTACTCATCACCTCGACGAACCCGTCGTTGGAGCCCTGAAAATGGAGCATCTTCATGTGCTTCTCCATAGCCCAGTTCCGTATCCAGCTGCACTGTTTGATCCTTGTCGGATTTATCAACTCCGTGACGAAGTTCCGGCGAAGCGTCCTCCATAAGGGGCCGTATTCGGCCGAGTTTATGGCACATTTCCCGACGCTGAACAAGAGGCGGATTGGGGAATCAGCGGGCCGGCTGGCGAACAGAGGGCCCTTTTGGACAAGGGCTTCGTGGATGAGCTCGGAGCTGGTGATGATTACCAGGGTTCGTTGGCCCATTTGCATGGTGAATATTGGGCCGTATTTGGTGCGTAAATCTCGTACAATGTATATGAAAGGTTTGCGTTGGAGGATAACTTGGAAGAGGTTACCAACTAGTGGCCAACCTGGTGGTCCTGACGGCAGATTCTTTGCTCCGCCGCCGGTGACCGACCAGTATCGCCACCATACACAAAATATGAGGGCTCCAAAGACAAGTATGAAGATATCCATCAATTCTAGAGCCATTTCTTTTTTTTTTCTTGAGAAGAAGTTATTTTGGTTAGAAAGAAAGGGAAGAAGGAAGAGTGTAGTAGCAAGTTGTGGTTCTTGTGGAACTCTATATATTATTGGCAAAAGGGTTGATGTTGATACGTATTTAGTCAATTATTTTTTTAGGTGTTACACTTTAATAATACATTTATTTATAATTTATTAATGCACAGTTTCTTGCGAATTGATGGTTTTACTAGTCACCACGTACTGGTATCAGTGTAATGTTTTTACCGGCAGAAATTGGAATTGATCGGTGAAAAAAATATAAATGCAACAAATTAGTACAAAATCCACCCGCTTTTTAAAATGCAACAAATTCATTTCTCTATCTAGCTACTTCATTTAATAGGTTGTCTGGTGACATGATTTTATTATATTATTATCTTTGTACAAATTCATCCATCGAGCCACAATTTTCTAATTTTGCTTGCACTCATGCATTATTTGAACGCATCTTTTATGTCCTCGCTGAATTTTGAAACCATTCATTGAAGTTCTTTTACTGTAATTTTTTTCCCCCAATTATTTAGTTTTTTCACATTCACATGGTTCTTATTTTCTCATACAGTAACTGCAAGCATACAGTTATGTTCTGTTGTACTTCTCTCTACGCAAAGAAAAATAGTTGATTCCGTGACAAGTACACATCACAAAACTCAAAATCGACTATTAAATTTCTTAAAATAAAGAGAAGTGATAAAAAGCATTTTCTTCTGTAAACAACCTATCTCAAATTCAAGTATGTGATCGAACAAATAATTGTCTGGCATCAATTATAAACAAACAACCACAACTTACACGATGGATCAACTCAATGCCAATATATCAAATTCACATCATTAATTAGAGCTGATATATATATATATATATATATATATATATATATGCACTGAGCTTCCCTTACAACTTCAATTGCTCTGTAGCAATTACAATGAAAAACTAATAGGAAGAATGAAATCACGAGAATTCGTCTAAACAAGTCACTACATAATTTTACTTAACCATAGGCCAGATTCACTAGAGTACACGCATACACATTTGTAATACGTGTTAGGTGTCCGTATTGTTTCATGCACATAAAAAGAAAGGAATGTATTAGAGGATAGAAGGATAAAATTAGAAGAAAAGCTGAAATAATGAATAAAAAAAAGAGAGTTTATAATTCGTTAACACGTCCATATGCAAATAAGTAAACTCCTGCTCACATTTGAAGTCCTTTTAGCCATAAATGAGAAGAATATCGATTCAGTATACATGCATGTGGATTCTGGATAGTGCAATTCATTGTTGTTTGTTGAAGAAGCCGTTCTTTGGATGGAACCTTAACGTGATATATAATTGTGAAAGGGCAAAATAACAGCAAGGGTAACTTACACAACAAGAGATGATATGATTTTGACATTATTGTCCTTTTTGCATGGTAGAATATATCCAGTAAGAAGTTTTATATTTTATTATATAGTATTAATGATGCATTAGCTGTGAAATTACATCGCTTCCGTTATTGCATGATTTATGCATTTCGAATTGATACACATCAACAACTAGTAACGAGATGAGATTACATCACAGTAAGTCAGTAAAGTGCGGGAGTACATAGAAGATCAATTGATACTACATTCCACACGCTCCCCCATATTTTACTTTCTCTTTATCAGAACTTTCAATTCCTATACTTAATATGCATATAATAAGACAGCACATGATCATAGTAAGATTTGATTTTGATACTACCCATCGTATTACTGTTTTCAAATGGATTGAATTAATTAAATTCTATAACTAATTATAAACCTTTTTCTTTTTTACCCCTAAAGCCTAAAGGCAATGAATTATTCGGTTGCCCTAGCCAAGAGGGTGGATCATGGAATGAATATACGTACACCTACTTCGCTGAGACAGCTTACTTAAGTAAATGTCACTTTATCTGGAAAGAAAAGAAAGCTCAGAAATTGCTATTTAAAATCTGTCAGCGATCCGGAGGAGCTATCATCATCACTGGTGTGCTGTAGTGTTGTGAGTCACTCCCTTCCTATTTTAATTTCAATAGGCCATTTATTTTTATTTTTTTAATATTGCACGGTGTTCAGTGCTCACCATAGTAACAATGTCTAATCTCCTTGCTCATGGTAGACAATTCGATAAGTGAGAGAATTGTCAAAAATAATTCAAAGTTGATTTACGCTAATGACGAGATTCGAACTTTCAATCTACGATTAAGGATAGAGGAGTCAATAATCCACTTATTGAAATAAAGTATTACTACTATAACAACGTGAAAAACACTATTGTGCAAATTTATAGATATGCATATTCGCAACAAACTATAAATTTGCACAGTAGTGTTTAAAAATAAATAATTTTTTTTAAAAGATCATATAATATATTTTTATAATTATGAGAAATAGTGAAAAGAAATAGAAAACAGAAAAAATTAAATAAAAAGTGTAAAAAGACTGTTTGCTTATTTTTACAAATTTTTGACGTCATTTTTATAATTTCCAAAACTATTAAGGTATTTTTTATACTTAAAACTAACAAAATTCCGTTAATTAAACGAAAATTGACAAATTGGACAAAATCGGCTAACGGTTGGATAGCTTAGGGTAATGTTGGCTAACCGAAAAAGAATAAGATGAAATTGACAATGCATGTCAACCTTTGAGTAGATCGGCCAATTTTTCCCTCTTTCCTTTTATTTCTTTTTTCTCCTTTTGATTCCTCCTCCACACCCCCGGCGCCCTGCGGAAGGGTCTTATTCTTATAAACGGGGGTAATATTTCTTCGTTTTAATTTGGGCCTCCTGGAAAAAGCAAATAGAAAAGGCTGTCCAGACTCCAGAGGGATCAGTGGCGCATACTTATTGGTTTAAGCAAAAGCCCAAATGCACTTACCTAAACGACTGCGTAGAGACTCTCTCATCTGATTGAAGATGATAAACCTCAAGGAATTGGTGTTAAACCCATAAGAAGTTACAGAAGAAACAATGGCCATGGCTGCCACCACCACCACAACCAATTTAGCTTCAATCTTCTTAAATACAACTACTTCTTCACTCTCACTTTTGTGGGTTTCGGCCCGATGCAGGACTTCTTCCCTGACCACTTCCAGGCTCGTGAATGTGTTAGCCACCTCCCATATCGACACCGGAAAACGGTACCAACACTCCTGGAATTCACCTCGCAATAGAACCCTGATTAGAAGCTTTAGCTCTGAATCCGCCGCTTCTTCAGATGTTGAATGGAATCCATACGCCGTTTCCTCTCACGGGTATCCCTCAATTTTGTCATTTGCAACCATTGCCGTTTCTGTTTGTTGATTGTTCTTCTTCTTGATGGGTTCCAGATACAATGTACTATAATACTAGCTCATTAGTATCAATATATTATTTTATAAATTTTTATGGTTTGCATTGTGGCTCTGTTCTGGCGTTTATCACGGGAAAAGTGAAAGTTGGCTATTTATTTGCCGCCAATTTGTTTTGGGGGGAATATGGTTACCTATGCTATTTCTAGAATGCGAAAGGAAGAATTTGTCCCCGTATTTTTGTTTTAGGTTTCGCCTTCCAAAGTTGTCCTCAATAGGCTCTCTTTTTGCTGCCCATAAAAATATGATCCTCATGGCGCATGTTGCATTGAGGGAGGAGTCACTGTTGTTGCCTTGTTACCAAGTTCTTCGACATCTTCTTTTTTTTTTTCAAAGTTAATTTGCATCAAAATGTGAATAAAAGGATAGTTCTTACACTATTGGAGAATGTATTGTATGTTGTCTTGCATGATAATGCTAACGAGTTTGGGTTTAGTTATTGCGCTATGCAGTTTGTAGTGGAAGTTTATATACTCTTCTCTTTCTTGTTTCACATCATTTTAACATCACTTACTTCTGATATGTTTTGAAGCAGCGCCCCTCAATATGGTCGCCTGCTTCCATGCCCCTCTCAGAATGGCGCACCAAGAGTGGAACATTTAGTAGTTAAGGAAGGAGGGCCTGTGCTTCAGTTTATCAGTAAATCGTTAGATCTTCCCCCACCGTAAGTTCTCTTCATTTGCTGGACAGAACCCTGTTATTTTAATAGCTGCATTGTCTGTTTAGTGATTTATGTTTCATCTTGGAAGGTTTGTTTCAGATCTTATTCATTTCGGGGCGGTTTATTATGCTCTGGTATGTCCAAAGCCTCCTCCTACTGCTACACCAGAGCAAATAAAAACATATGAAGAATATACAGCTCCATCAGTTCTCAAAAAGAGAGCTTCCATCAAAGGGAAAACCTTTAGAGAAGCGCAGAAAACTTTTAGGATAACATCTGTTGATGAATTTGTTGAACCAGGCACCTATTTACGTGTTCATGTGCACCCAAAACGCTTTCCAAGGTTCTTTAGTCTCTTTACTTATGGGCATATTACTGATAGGATGTTGTTGGTTTCCTTAATCTTAATTTTTTGACTATGATCAGGTGTTATGAAATAGATTGGCAATCACGAATTATTGCTGTTACTGAATCATACGTGGTTCTGGACAAGCCAGCTGGTACTTCAGTACGTACAATGTGGTTTGATATTATAGTTATACACAATAAGGGCCCTTTGATTTGTTCACAACTTCACAATCCTATTTCTTCTGCTAGGAAGTTTGTTGCGAACCTTAATATGGATGCCATGTTGTACTCAATTTTCAACTTCATCTCCTATTTCAGAATCACAATTTGATGAAATTTAACGGTTAATGATTATCGCATTTTTGTTTAATTATCGTGTCTTCCTATGTGATCCCAAATATGATATCTCATAGCTGTATCTTCATTCTAAGTCCAAAACATTTATGTGTGACCAAACAGACTAGCAAAGATGGTATCTTGGAATATGAGACTAACATGCTATTGAGATCCCGGAAACTGTTAAGAGTGCCTCAATAAAAATATTTGTTTGACAATGGACTGAGCATTGTCTCAGGGGTGGTTCTCATCAATCTGTTTTATCAGGTCGGAGGAACAACAGACAATATTGAAGAATCTTGTGCAACATTTGCTACTCGTGCACTAGGATTAGCTACTCCTTTGATGACTACTCATCAGATTGATAACTGCACTGAGGGCTGGTACATGTTATCTGCACTGACTTTTGTTCTTACTTCCAGGCTATGAAACCAAGCTTTATTTTTCTGATGCTACTTTTTGCAGCGTTGTTCTAGCTAGAACGAAGGAGTATTGCTCGGTTTTTCATAAGAAAATTAGGGTAAGAAACATGTCATACAATTCACAATGGAATCGACATTAGTTCACTTACAAATTTAAAGGAAGTTAGAAGCCGCCTGTTAACGTCTTATGCCATGTTGGTTTGCTTTTCAGAGATATTGTCCCATTTATATATCTCTCTCTGATGTTCCCTCTCTGTGAATTGGTCTTTGTATTTTAATCAGGAGAAAAAGGTGAAAAAGCTTTATCTTGCTCTTGCTGCTGCTCCTGTGCCAATTGGAATAATTACCCACTACATGCGGCCAATTAACATGGCTCCAAGGCTTGTTTCGGAAGGTGAAATTATACAATTATCTTGCTCTTCACCTTCTCTTTGTTTGACGAGATGTCCTAATTGTACAATTTTTATGTGGTTTTCCCATTGTTTTGGAGATCCTGAAGCTTTCAATTGCCATCTTCTCTATTTTAACTACTAGAAACTTTGAGGATTTCATCAGACAACCTTTGGGGTGCTGAATTGTTTTGCATGCAGATTTTGTTGAGGGATGGCATCTGTGTCAACTTGAGGTCTTAGAGTGCAAGAAAGTAGCCTGGCCTACTACTGAAGCAGAAAGCGAATACGGGATTGAGAATTGCGGGTGGCCGCATCAAGAATTTGCATATGAATGTAGGATCAGCCTTCTGACAGGTCGAACTCATCAGGTAACAATTGTCTTTCATTTCCAGCTTTTCTTTTTGTAGTTTTGGGGTAGTTCCATGCCAGTGGCTGTGCACCACAAAAACACTCTGAGAAGACATCAGTTTGACTGTTTACAACCCAAAAGTTCTTTTGCTTTATTTGGGACTTTGTTCCGTTCGAACTTGGAGAATTTCTAGTGATCATCGGACAAATTGGACCAGAGATTATCAGACAATTGAATTTAGATACTATTCAATTCCAACAAGTGCCCTAACTTAGAAGTCTATATCAAACCCCCTTGATGTGGACTATATTCGTGTAACTGAATGAGTACCCCACTAGAGTCCTACAGCAATGAACCAAGCCCGTGTGGAGATCGTGTTAACACTTAGCAGTATAGCAAAAGTAACTTCTGTTTGACAGCCTCTCATTTGATGTTTAAACCCCTGCTATCTGCCTTTGAAATTGATAGACACGGCGCATGGGAGAGTATAAAACAGAAAAAATATAGAAAAAGAACAAGCTATTGAAATTCTTTGTCAGATACGTATTCATGTTTTGTTGTTCTTAGTCAGAACACGTTATTTTTCTATAAGGTACATTTCATAATGTCTTCCTGACAAGTATCAATCGCAATTTAGATCCGAGCGCAGTTAGCTTCTTGTGGTTCTCCAATTGTGGGTGACTCGATGTACATGCCTGCTGCTGCTGCTGAGATGGCAAATTCAGGGATCAATCCATTACGAAAGAACAACAAACATTTCACGAGTGGTTCTGATAAAGTAGGGGCGATCGAAGAGTGGATAAAGCAGCACGGGAGAGAACCTGCAGTTGCAATTGGTCTCCAGGCATGTCAAATTTCGTGGGATGATGGAGACCACTGTTATGAAGCTGGATCGCCTTGGTGGAGGTAGAAACTGCCTATTGATGTATAAAAATATATCAGGATAACATATATTGGGGACTGATATTTGTTGGATGAGGTATGAGATGTTTGGCTATTGATTGTTGCATTATCGCATCTTCAGATTCGGCGCCCCAGGGTAGCTTCCTCCATAGTTCTGGTAGGTAAACTTGTTTTGTTACCACAACTGGTGAAACCAAAAGCTTTCTGGGATGCATCGTTATATGCTGTGGGATTGATGTATCTGTATTATAGATGTGAGGACAAAAATGTGATATGGTGTACAGCTTAGATTGGTCTAGATGCCAAATAGCAGTTGTAATAATATAGTGTAAACAGAATATTGTAGTGATAATTCATCATTAAATCCAAAGGCAAATCTAAATATATTCTAGTGAACTCACACATACAAACTCATAATTTTCACGTAGGACTGCTTGAGTAACACCAGTTGTAAAAGGTACTCTGGGACCAAATTAAACTCGGGGGTTAATAATATATACCGTCCAAAACGCCCCGATTTGGACCCCGGATCCAAAATTGCTCACCAGAAGGAGAGTGCGGAAGCTGAGCGGTCCACATCGTCCGATTTGGATCCCTATACCCGAATCCCTAACCAGAAGAAGAAATAGGAAGAACAGGGCGGGAGCTGAGTAGTCCAGGTCGTCTGATCAGGAACCCGATTCCGAAATTGCTAACCAGAAGAAAAAGGAGAAGAGTTGATTGTGTGTGAATTGTGATTCCTTTTGCAAGTCTGTATCTATCCCCTGACAAAAATTGACACGAAATCATATATGATTGATGGGGTGAAATCCTGCAATTTTGCTTATAGATCCATTAGGACTTCTGACCGCTGACAGAGTACAAAAATACATTATCTGAAGTGTACAAGCTCCATCATTATCTGCCTTACATATCAAAAATACATTGGGGGATTTTCTAGTATTGTGCTATTCGTGGATTTCTCGTGTGTTTTGCAATGAAATCTTTGTACCAAGTAGCTGACTTTTTCGGTGTGCTCTTCAATGTGTTGTGATCAACATGGTGTAGTCCGTATCCATGAATGTACCCCTTTAGCCACTCATAATCATCAAGCAACGTCCAAGCAAAGTAACCTCTAACTTCAGCTCCATTTCTGTTTGAATGAAATGAATCATCACAATTATAAACATGCAGTCATTTATTTGTAAGAGACTTTTTTTTCTCTTTTTGACGGCGAATGCTGAAATGTACTGACCCCATGGCTCTTGAAAGATAATACAAATAGTCATTCAAGAATTGTATCCTCTTGTCATCATTCAACGATTCTTCAAAGGTGGAATTTGGGTTAGTCTTCTCACAGTAGCCTGGCAATCATTGCTTCAACTGTCAGGATTTGGATAGAGAAAGCGACAGAAGAAACTGAAACCAGTTCAACGTGTCCTTGGAACTGACCATTTTCTGTAATGAATATTGGGATATTGTTGTATCTTTCCTTGACATAGGTTACAGTTTTTTCCATTCCTGGTGGATAAGATCGCAAAGGTGGATCCCCTGTCTTCCGAAGCCAATGCAGTTTCAATATGATATGGGGTAAAACATAGTAACTGAGCAATGCAGATGATCAGATGGTAAGGCAGACTTACAAGTTCTCCAATGGGAATTCCATCCTTATGAAAAGTTTGTCTGACATAACCTTCCGTTCGGCTGGTTCCAGGTAAGGGCTCACAGTAGGAATACATGCAATCTCCAATGTACAAGGTGGTGTAGTGGTTGATGCCAATGAAGTCCACTCCCAGTTTCAGATCTTCTAAATCATTGCTGGAAAATCTTGGTAAGGTGGATCCTAGGAGATCAGTCATTTCTTTGGGATATCTCCTGTGTATAATTGGCTCCAAGAACCTGATCAGAGTGAGAGAAAATATGGATATTTCAACTGCATTCAATATATGCATTGAAAAATTATTGTTGTGTTCCTGATGTTGTGAATAGTACCAGTTGTAAAAGAAAGAATGAGCTCTTTCTGTAGCTAACTTGTCAGCTGTCGAGTTGCTTAGGGGTTCATACCAAGCTGTCTGAACAATAAAGCCGATGCTTCCACCTTGTAGTTTCTGAAAAATTTACTCCCTGATTAGATACAATGCTAAAGCGCGGAGCTCAGATGCATTCAGGATGGTTAGATTATAATCCTTCCAAACCTAGATTCTGTTTTCTGGAGTTATCCAGAACACAGAATTGTACATTTTTGGGTGGAAATGTTAGCTCATACCTGGTATTTGGTTTTGTAGATCTTAACCGCTGCTGCATGTGCTAGGATTACGTTATGTGCAGCAATAAAAGGTTCTTTCTCTGAATCTCCTGCAGTGCAGTACCCGAAACCTTTTGAACAACGATTTGGAGGAAAGAACCCTGATCGATATGCGCCCATAACATACAAGTTTGGCTCACTGAATGTCACCCAGTACTTCACCCTGTCCCCAAAGTTTTTGAAACAGATATCTGCGAAGTATTTAAAGTCTTTCCTGAAACAATGTAAAGGGTCATAAATGGTTCAATAGGCACATCTAGGATGGCAAAAATAAAGCTACTTATACTTGCTTACACAAATCTGGGACTTAGCCAAGATCCATATCTCTGTTCAAGTTCATCAGGAATATCAAAATGATTCAATACCACAAATGGTTGAATCCCTGTATATTGCAGACGGGGAAAAATTGATCAGAGCAGGGGAAACAGTTAAAAAGCATCGTGTTCAATGATGTTGGGAAAGTCATCAAAAACAAACCTTTGAGGAGGAGAGCATCAATGAGCTTGTTGTAGTATTGAATTCCTGCTAAATTTATGCTTCCACATACTCCTTCTGTGGTCAGAAAAGCTTTGTCAGTGTACTGATTATTAGTACACATCATTCCTTAAAGTGAATGAAAAAGATGTAAATGAAAAACTTACTTGGTAAAATCCTTGCCCAAGAAATTGAAAACTGATAGCTGTTTAGTCCAAAGGAAGCCATAATATCCACATGTTCCTAACTCACACAAAGAGAAACAAAACAAGATTCAAAAATCATATCTTGATCTTATTATTTGGCCGGCTTTTGCATTTTGCATCATCAGCTCTTCATTGATAATCATGCTTCAGTTTCATAGGATGCAAACGGAAAACGGGATACCTGATACCGATGATATTGATCAACAGCAACATCTCCATTGTTTCCCTCACTTGCAAACTCTGCAAAATAGTACCACAGTCCTTCATCAGCAACTTACAAAAACATGGGTTCTACAAGGGTTGCTGCCTAAATTCAACCAGCTCACTACTTTACCTGAATTATGAGTAAAAACATCCCAATTGCTTAGGCTTTTCCCATCAGTTAGGATAGCACCTTCATACTAGAAAAAGTTGCAAAAAGAGATTAGTATATTTAGTTCAAGTCCTGATGACTCTTTCTTCAACATGACATTATTGCAAATGAAGAAACCAAAAATGAATAAGCAGAAGGATAGGGAACCTGATAAGCAGAAGAAGCAGTCCCAAAGAGGAAATTGGGAGGAAAAAGGGATTCATCCAAGTCCAAGCTGTTGTTGAGTTCAAGATTAGCAGATATCAATGGTGATAAGAATACCGGCAATTCCAAACTAAGCACTAGAAGAAAGGGGACAAAAGGTGGAAGATTTGCCATTGAAAATGCATTCAGTTAGTGGAAGATTTTTCTGGTTTTAGTTTGACAGACTGACTTTTTTCAGTTTTGTAAGTTGGTGAATTGAGACCACTTCATACATATAAAAAGGTGCATGGTGGTGGATAGAAAGAAATTATAGCCAGAAGCGTAATGATGGGAACAAAAGAATAAAGATCCAAGCATGTCAATCCAATTTTTCACTTCCAATTTGAAGTTGAGGAATCTGTGTTTGACATGAGTGCAAGAATCTTCGAAGTTAACATTTCTCATGTAAGCAATCATTTAACAGTTTTTAACTATATGTTCTACCTAGTTCAAGAAAAATGGTTCACTTCGTGGAGTATTACTCCACAAAATGTGTGCAATTCATAAAATCTCATTATTTGTTCTAGAAATTAACTCGATTAGTGAAATTGTACGGGCGTTTATAGAAAACGTACATTAAAGAGGTATATAATATAACAGCAAAAGGAGAGGATGCCAAAATGACTTCAAGCAAACATCATGATCAAAAGGAAGTATCAATTGACTGCCGCAATTGATAACAACACATCCATTACACGCCATTGATCCAACAGGAAAAGTTTTTGAAATTGTGATTACTCTTGAGAAACTTGTTTGATTCAATTTAGGCATTAGAATTCATCTTTTATTTCAGCGCATCTCTATTTTTTTTCTCTTTTAAAGGTATTATTAGTGTTTACCCCGTGCGTTGTACAGGAAATATGTAACAGATGTAAAATATGTTTAGTAAGGAGAATTTTTGCACCAGGAATGAAATTGATGCTACAAATAAATTTCAAAAATTTATCACTATAACACTGTCCTCGACCCTTACAGGTGATATGAAATTTAACATATAAATCTCTAAAATCAGTGCGTAAATAAACATAATCTTGTGGATTCCCTTTAAATAATGATGTCCGACGGCTCGAAAGTATCTGTGAACATAAAAAATCATAAATAAATGAAACTATAATTCAAATTAATATAACCAAATGAAAGAAACTTTGGCCGAGATGATTACCAAACCATTATCGATAACATTATATGGCATTGTGCATAAGTACTCCAATCCATTAAGAGCTCCTGCAATAAACATACACCCACATTAAATAAATAACGATATGAAAGCAACGAAAGATTTAAAGGAAAATTAAGTAGGGAGACAAACCTGATTATTTTGAGCTCTCTACCGTCACCATATTTAAATAGATTGATATTTATCAAAATCCTGTATAAGAACAATTTGAACTTTATTTAATTGAAATTTTTCTTATCGGATTAGTTGTTGCAAAAACTTTAAAATCAAAGTTATCTTGTGCGGTTAAAATTTGGTGTAATTATAAAATCAAATAGTAAAATATTAAAATTATTGTTAACTAACAATTATATCAATTTTTTACTTTCAACTTAGTTGAGGTTATAATTTGATGCCAAATCAACCTTTTTCATCCTCTATTAATATATATATAGAGAGAGATTTTACGTACTTATTATTTCAGAGATTTTTCATAACAAAAGTTAAACAGTGGAAAATTTTCCGTAATAATTTCATACATAAAAAAGAAGAAGCTAGATTTATTTTGTGGCTTGTAGTTATTGGGATTATCATTTACATCGCATGTTGCCCATTGATTTGTTAGTGCTAGATTGTTCTAGAAAAAGCAAATAAGAAATGCCAAACAGGTCATTTTCCCAGCCAGCTTAACCTTGGAACCATCGTTTTTTTAAAAAATTTCTTTTTTTAACTATTGATATGATTTATTTCCTAAAGTATTTCTTTTACTTTTATAGTGCCCAAATCGGTAAACCTTTTAGGCCGAGAAGATTCTTTCCAACTGATATAGTCTTCGTTGCGCGGATGGGTGTGTTGGTATTCTATTTTGGTGTTCTTCTGTGTACATAAAAAAAAAAAAAAAAATCCTATTTTTTCTTGTTTTGATAAAACACATCACCTTTATGAATGAGACTGTAATCAGTCTCAATTTTCTCATGCTATTTTTTCTCGTTGACAAGATAATGCTTTATGATTACACATTACACTCCCTTCTGTCTGTATTAGAAGTCACAAATTAACAATAAAAGTAATTATAAATTTGTAAAAATAAATAAAATGGGAAGTAATTATAAATATACTTCCGGCATCCTATGGTACATAAAAATGTTGATCTAGGTTTATCGCAATAGCGTCATCGTCCACATAATTTAGCGTATTGTTTCTGTTTGATTGTTTTTCCTAGATAGTTTTCATCTCTTTTTTTTTTTAAGTATATAACTCACTCGGTGTCTGAAATTACTGATTCCGACTAATTCATATTCGAGCCAAATAAAAGTCTCTTTTGAAAGGCAAAACTCTTCCAGTACCTTTTTCTCGATAATTTGATGTAAAATGAATCACAATTATTTTTGTTGTGCAGAAATCGTGCGTGGACATTTCCATCAGTTTTGCACAACTGGAAAACATGCTGACGGACTACAGGTTTTATTTTTCACAAAAAAAAAAAATTATTACAAATTCGGTTTGCTAAAAATACATTGTAATATGTTGAAATACGAAAACTTTCACGGTCTCGTTGGCTTTCATAAGTAGAGGAAAGATACGTCAACTCTTCTAGACTCAAGTGGAAGTCGCAGAGTCGAAATTAGAGCATGATTACTCTATTTTTTGGAATTCTCGTTTTCCCGGGGAAATTTGTCGACATTACATCAAAGTCGAGCCTAAGTCACTAAGTCGCAAATGTACATAACAATGGATATATTCAATTTTGCTTCGGTTATGGGAATCTGACTCGATTACTGGGCTGCAGAATTGCATGTTGAGGTTTTCATCTGGCGGAAATTTTCAACTACTGGTACACAAAACAGAATTTCATTGGTCCGCGGAGGTACAATATATTGGGACAAGATAATTACAATTGTTAACATGGGAGGAGCCAAAATGTCTTGTTTACTTCACAGGGTTTGCCTCCGCGTATTTTGATCCCCGAATCTTGTGATACTTGTTTGGAAAGCTGCTGTGATTGGAAATCCGGTGTTTGAACCAGATTGCAGACAACTTAGGTGTTCTTTTCAGAGTTGCATAATCAATATGGTGAAGCCCAAATCTCACGGCGTATCCAGATATCCACTCGAAATTGTCCAGCAATGCCCACGCAAAGTATCCCCTCACGTCTGCTCCTTTCCTGCAATGGAACAAGCCTAGTTCTGAATTCAGGCCGCAAAAAGTTACCCAATCAATGAAACAGGCGAGAATCGGCGAAATATGTGAACAAAAATGTTTCCCATGATGTGATGTAAAACTACCTACCTCATTGCGGAAGCCAATGAAATCAAGTAGCTATTCATGTACTCCACCCTTTTATAATCAAACACGAAATCCGTCGCTGATAATCTGGGGTTGCTCAGCTGACCTAGACCTGGAAGTACTTCTTTTTATGTATATGATGAAGAATTTTGTAAGAAGAAAGAAATCAACCCAAAATCAAAACTTTGCTTACCATTCTCAGTGATGAACATTGGCGTATTATTGTATCTGTCTTTGATATATGTCACTACGTTTTCCATTCCAGGAGGATATATATTTATCCAGTCTACATCAGTCTGTCAACAACAGAAGAAAACATCAATCAGCTCCCCAGAAATTATAAATGGCTAGTTAGTTTCTGTCAGGAATTCCGGCCTGGGAGCAATCGGTATTGGAATTCTCTAGCCCTCATCTCCCGGGCCAGAATTCCTGACAGTTTCTGATTGAATGAGCTGCTGTAGGTACTTACGCTTTCACCAATGGGAATGCCGTCTTTAACTGCTGTTCGCAAGAAGTAACCTTCTGGTTTTGAAACTCCTGGTCCTCCTGATTGGCATGCCGAGTACAAGCAATCTTTAGCGTAGAAGCTCGTGTAGTGGTTTATGCCGATGAAATCCACTCCGTGTCTCATCAAATTTAGGTCTTTCCTTGAGAAGGTTGGTAATTGAGAGCCGAGGATCTGCTGCATCTCTGCAGGATATCTTCCAAAAATGATTGGATCCAAGAACCTGAGATAAAAATCAACAACTAAAAATTGGTCCCTTACATGACTTCTATGGTATGCTGTTTTCTGTTTCATTTCTCATGATGGTTTTTTGGAGATTGATGGCATAAAGTAAAGTAATGGTAAATGAATTACCAATTCATGAAGAAAGATTGAGCTCTCTCAGCAGCTGATTTATCCTCTGAGGAATCACTAAAAGGTTCGTACCATATTGCATTGATTACAATTCCAATGCTGCCTCCTTGTGTTTTCTGAATGTTAAACGTAGAAAACATAGTTTATGGCATTAACTAAATGCGAATGATGGTAGAACTTTTATACAGAAACGCCATTAAGGAAGCTAAGGACGACAATCATCAGTTCAACAAGGGACACCTGATATCTAGTTCGATATGTATCAACAGCGGATGCATGGGACAGAATCATGTTGTGTGCCGCGATGAGAGGCTCCTTCTCGGAATCTCCTGAACTACAATTTCCAAATAAAGCTGAGCAGCGACCTGGAGGATAGATCCCGGACCGGTATCCTCTAATGGCCACAACATTCGGCTCGTTGAAGGTAACCCAGTGCTTCACTCTGTCCCCAAAGTATTTGAAGCAGATTTCTGCATAGTATCTGAAATCATCCCTGCAAAACAAATAAATAAATAAAATGAAGAATTTGAACTTGTGCTTAAGGTGTTTTCTCTAGACTCAATTACTTGTAGAATAGGTGTTGAATCGATAACCATTATAACAAAAAGTTCTCGCGGTGATTAATAACAAAAAAAAAGAAAAAGAAAAAAAAACACGAAATAGAAAGTTTCTGCAGCTTACTGTACTTTCGGGCTGAGCCAGGCGCCATATCTATCTTCAAGTTCTTGAGGGATGTCATAATGAGTCAATGACACAAAGGGATATATTCCTGTATTTCACAGCTAAGACCTAAATATATATGCTGTTCCTTAAGCTGGTAATGTCGTTATGGAGCCAAAAAACACTTACAAATGATGAATTTACCTTTCTGTAAGAGTGCATCAATCAGCTTGTTGTAATGCTCAATTCCTGCCATGTTAACATTACCGAAGCGCCCTCCTGAAAACATAGCAACAATTTACCATCCTTTTAGATACTCACCATTGGTGAATTGAGTATTCCAAAAGAAATCAAAGACTTACTGGGCAAAATCCTAGCCCATGATAAAGAAAACCGGTAGCTGTTAACACCGAGATCTTTCATCAGATTAATATCCTCCTGTGATCATTGTCCAACAGATCAAGAGTTATATACATATAGCTAAATTTTTTTTCTTTCCGGATAAACTACACGAATTGCAGCACATCAGTAACAAAATCAGCCAATCGATTTATTTTTTCTGAAACCGACATAAGTACTCTAGGCTTGGACAGGTCCTGGTGTCTTTATGACATGATTCAACTCATTCAAGATCTCCTCCGGTAAACAACTGTTGGATGTTTCTCAGATATGTTTACACAACTACTTACTTCTTTAGGAGGAGGTTTGGTTAGCCTTTTTAGGCAAGTAGTAGGCCGATCGAAGTTCCAAGGGAAACAGAAACGGAATTGACATTAATAGTTTACCTCAAACAGAATATGCCGTCAAAATGGAATTTGAACAGGTTTAGAAATCGTACATGCACAAAAGGCTTGCTGGTAAATGGTATTACTGAAAGATCAAACTGTTTATTCCAAAGAGTGGTCCTTCTAAACAGCATTTTTTTAATCGCGCATGATTTGGAAGTGAGGAAATGTAATGATTGGAATCATCAGCAAGTAGAATTGTTTGGTTGGTGTGTAATAGTAACTTGATTTAGCAAAAAGGGCAAACAACAAACCACATTGGCCCCATAAAACATTGGACCAATGTGAATCACAATCAATTAGGTCTTACCGTCCTGGGATATGCCCTATATGGGACACACTTTTGGAAGAAAATGACACTTTCACCTAAGTGACAAAAAACTTACAAAAAAAAGGTGCTGAAATCGCGAATCCAGACAAGTTAGCAACACAACACTGATACATAATAACAAGATGCTAAACTTTAGAATGCTGCTGAGGTTAAATTTAAAAAAAAAAAAAAAGAAAAAAGAGTCTAACATAGGCAAATGAATGATTTTCCTTAGCAGTAAGATGCATTTCGGGGGTGGTAAACAAATCCTGGAGAATGACTAATGAGTAGTAGTAGCATTAACTGCATAGAATGCAGCTTCTCCTTTTCCCTTAACCTGGACCCGAAGAAAAAAAACTTTCAATCATTCTTAAGATTCTTAACCATATATCAAGCCTGACAAAGGTGAGACCATTGGAAGCTTAAACAAGGCCTGATATGAATAAGTACAAGAAACGCTTGAATTATTGTAAACATGGTGCCATGGCATGATATGACCAATGTTATGTTATGTCCTGGAATGAAAAATGTCTCACGTCAAGGCATAAAAAGATGGTGGAATTTCACCTACAACTTCGCGAATTCCAAGCCACGGCATGATGAGGACGTTTATGGTCATGCCAGAAACACTTGGCCCTTGCCCTAACTGAGTTACTGGTAAAGTGGTAACTCATATCGTGGCATGTTGAAGACATTGTGAATTTTTGAATGTTGGATCACAATCCTACAGATGCATGCATCGTGTGCCTGTCTACTATTTTACAAATACCTCTTAGTGGGCAAAATAATGCCTAAAGAAAAGTGTGATTGACGCATTATTGAAGCCGTTCTTTCTTGTTTGGATGTTAGTTCTTTTGACACTAGCAAGTTGAAAGAGTCTTCCAGTCAGAAACAGGATGTTTTTGGCAACAGGTTATGATGCCAATTAATGTTTTGTTACCAGTCCTTAGATGCCTCTTCTTCAACCTATTTGATTACGAATCTCTGATAAATTCTTGGTTTTTGAAGTCAAGAACCAGAAACATAGTCAAAACATCACTAATTAAGAAGCCAATATGACATATGTCATTACCAAGTAACGATGGTAATGATCAACAGCAACATCTCCATTGCTTCCATCCAAGATATTACCTACCAGCGGAATCATGTCAGCAAATTCTACCAGGCTGCATTTTTAGAACTTCCATTTTTTTTCCAACACCAAAAAGCGGAAAAAATCAGTCCCCCTTACCAGTTTGATGGGAGAAGATATCCCAGTTACTAAGACCTTTCCCTTCACTGGAAAAAGCTCCTTCAAACTGCACAACAAATAAATCACAATAAAGCCTGAGAAAAGGAATTTACCGTTCAAGGCAGTTAAGCCAAAAAGAGGACTAATGCAATTCTAAAAACCTGGTAAGACGATGATGCAGTCCCGAAAAGGAAATTGTTTGGAAGTATAAATTGATGAAGGTTGGTTTCTAATGGTACTGAAAAACTCATGTCACACAAACACAACAACATGCTCATGTACAAGCACTTCATAATAAAACCAATGTTTAAATGGGTTGTGTAGGTGGATTCCATCATACAATATCAAATAGCTGCTATCACATTTAACTGCCAGTGGAGAAGAACACAAAGACAGTAACTAAGCACAAGATGCATCGTCGAATTGGAGGGTATATATATAGAGAGAGTGACAACACAACATAGGTGATTTGATTCAGATAAGTTACAAATGGAGCAGTAAGTTTAGGTGATAATGAGGGGGTGATCGACATAATTTAGATTTACGAAATTTTGAGCTCCAATTTTTTGAAATTTCACAATCAAGGGATGGTTAATGTTGGCTATCTCAAAATGTCCCGGATGTTCTGAAGCAACTTGACTTTGGGACTGATGTTAATGGGACCGGTACCCTTTCAGCTTTACCAATAAGTTTAAGAGCTTTTTAGGAAGGAAAACAAGGAACCCAAAATGGAAGTGCTTTTCAGTCTCTTTAAGGGCAATAATTAATGAATTGAAACATCAGTTGAAAGCGAACTTGGGGAGGCAACCACTGCTTGGTAATTAGGTGAACTTCAAAAATATCATAGTAAACGACAGAACCTTCAAGATCTGTAACTCAACCTTTGAGGGTTTTTATCCTCTTGCTGTAACAAAGTTATTGAATATTCAACTAGAGCTCCAGTCATTGATTCTCAGGCTTTATCACAATAATGGTCGAGTAGTGTATCGCCGCGCCATCACAATAACGGGTAATCTGATGAGTGCTTAACCCCCGAATTCAACCTAACACAGTCGCGGCCTAATCAGCTACCTAAGTGCAGATGCTGTCTTGCTGCTTATGGATTCATGCAGGCGTTACTGAGTAAGCACATCTATGACCTAGCTAGGAGCAGGTGATAGATCAATACTCTCGGATGAAGATTTTTTTTTTTCTTCCCAAATTAGTACGCGACAAACAAGAAACACATGCCTTTCATACATATTGATATTGATGCAGAATCAACGACAGATAATCACTAGAAAAGGCCAACATAAGAGAAAGGCATCACATCAATCAGCTTTTAGATAGATAATGATTCAGGTCAACATCAAGAAAATCTGTGCGTCGGTTGGGAAAGAAAAAAATCATGATTAGTTACTGATTAGGTGCCCCCAAAGGTTTTGCCAATGCATGATTTGCCAGCAAATTGATCCAAACGGATGTATCACCAATCAACGCCAATTATTGATGGTGGTTTTCTTTCTTGTAATGGCATCTACTCCAGACAAATCAACTTGAGCCACTTATTTGGTGGTCCTTTTCATGATAGAAGTAAAATGAAATTTACTCAAAGAAAAATCCAAGGCATAGAGAGTTTATTGTTCCTCCATGTTCATGTCAATCTATACTGCATCATCACATTAAGACTCTGCATTTATTACTTAAAGTATTTGTATCCTAACACTAAAGATAATCATTCAAAATCCATTTCCTCTCTAAAACCCAAGAGAGAGAAAGTACTCTCTTTCTCCAAGTGAGAAAGGCCTTTTTTCCAAAACCACTATCCTTTCTTATCATCCCTAGTTTTCCCAAAACCACTTCAACTTCTTCAAAATTTCCTCCTTTCATTTGGATAGTAGAAGATTACTTGGCAATTAGTAGTTCAATTTTGCCATTTGTTCAACATGCAGCAGGAAATTAATTATTTAGCTCACCTTTTCGAAATCCGAATGCTCTTATCAGATCTCATTAGAACCGTTTAAAAACAAATAAGATCTCATCAGTGTCTATAGGTATTAGTAGAAGGCCAGTACAAAGCACCTACCTTTTATTCTTCTTTTTTGTTTGTTTGCTATTCCAAGACATTAATGGTCTTTCCAAAGTTTCTCATTTGGCTGTTCAAGATCTCTTTAAACGAAAAAGTTCAACACCTTTTCCCTTTCTCTTCTAATCCTCGCCTGTCCACTTTCTCCTCTGGTCTTTCTAGTCCTTTTCTTTGTTATAATTCCTCACTCCTATTGATTCCCTCTTTACCAGAACGTTGATGTTCTACTACTTTACCGATTTAATCTTTTCATATATGCTTTTACTCTTCCTTTCTCATGAGTCATAGGCATGCAATGGACGAAGATTCTGTGACAGACATGTCACTTCAAGGTTCGGAGTTCGCAGAAGAAGAGCATGATTTCAATCCAGAAACTGAAGTGCATCCTCAGTTTGTACAGACTTCTTATGAGAGATCTCTGCGAGTCCCGCTTAACGACTATAATACTAGTCTTTCCCGAGAAAATTTCAAGTTATCACTGCTGGGTTATTTCCTGGATGATAGATCTTTCACAGATGTGGACATGCAAGCTTACATGGTAGAGAACTGGCCCCTGTATACTAGGATCTTACATTATGACCGCAACTTCTTCATCATTAAGTTTGCTTCAAGGGCTGATCTCCTCATGGCCTTAGACAATGGGCCTTATGCGGTTGATGGGGGCCTTCGCAGGATGTATGATGATGAAGATCTGGTGTTGGATAGTCTTCAAATTGACAAGTTAAGTGTCCGAGTTCGCATGCATGGGGCTACTATCACCTCTTACAATTACCGTGGTGCTAGAGATCTGGTAAAGAATTTGGGAGATATTACAATTATCAAAGAAGATTGTGTTAATCTTCGCAAAGCCACCTACATCCGAGTCAAGGTCTGGGTTAATCCGGGGGATCCACTTACTCCAACATTTCATTATACTAAAAGAAATGGTAAGCTGGTAAAATTTGTTGTAAGTATGAGTGTGTACATAAATTTTGTACGCGTTGTGGTAAACTTGGTCACCTGGCACAAAGGTATCTTATGGTTGATGATGCTGCTCTTTTTGCTTATTTGGATAATCACTTCATGCAACGGGCCATCAAAAATGATTCTCCAATGCTAATTGACGCTCAGCGTCCACTGTTTTCCAGCTCTATGAGGGCGCATGGACATAAACAAAAATGGACTTCTAGAATCATGGATAATAAGCATCTACAAATGTAATCATTTCTATGAAACTGTGCCAGAGCATTATATTCAAGATGGTTTTCAAATTACGGAGTTGGATGCCCCCTCTGCCTGATGCCCTGTATCCTGCCATGTTCCCTCAAGATAATGATAATGATGATGAGGATGGCCAAGATGATCAAGATCATAATGATAATAATAATCATGATGATGATGATCACAATGGGTATGATGATGATGACAATCCTGGTGGTTATAATCATGATAATGGCAATCCTAAGGCTTCACACAGAAATCATAGAGATGGAGGAGATTTTGATCCTCAGAATTCAATCCATCTCAATTATGGTGAGTTGCTTGCAAATGGCTTTCCAGAAACTTCCAGAAAGGCGGCTCCAGCAACACAAGAAAGATTATTAATTCTGATTCTGCTTCCACTGGTACGTTTCATTCTGTGCCTGTAGAATCTACTCCTATAAATCCTGATTATGGCCGGTTTAACTTATCTGATTTGGAGATGTCAGAGTCCTTTCCATCTGATGATATGTTAGCAAACCACAACTTTGTTGCTATTTTTGATGCTTTTAGTGACCTGAGTTCTGTATTTGTGGGTAATACACATGTATCCCCAAACTCGGTTTTTGATGTGATAGTATCGGATTCAGATTCTGTACTTAGTTTTACTAGGTCTGAGAACATGTCAGAGTCTGTAAACGTATTAGCAGAAGATGTCATTTCCCAAGCCTCGGATTCTAGTTCCTTTTTAAGATCTTTAATGTACTATTCGGCTTCGGGGTAGAATAATGGAATGCCCTCTAGTGAGTCTGAGTCTGATACGTTCTCCTCCATTCCAAGTACGGCCATTCCAGAGACAACTTTGTCTATAAAGAGGAAGGGTGCCTGGACGATGTCTGCTCCACAAATGGAATACGAGAGTGAATCAGAATCACAAGAGGAGGTAAATTCCTACCACATAAAGGTTAGGAAAGTGGTATCAGATTCAGAAGTTGTATTAGCACCTGTCCAGAAAGATAAGAAGAAAAAGCAGAAGGCCAGAAGAAAGTCCCAGGAACCAAGCTTTAGTTCCAAGTCTCAGCCACATAGTTCTACTCCTCAGCCAGCAGCTGGTCAACCTTCTCCCAGAGAGATGTCACAGAAAGGCCCTTGGCGAATGACAGTTGAAGAAGAGTTCCAGGAACCTGAGGAAATCTTGCTAAGTATTAAGAAGCTACCACTAGAATTGCAGGAGATTGTTTGGTCCAGTAACAAAAAGATTAAGTATGGCACCAGTGAGATGATTTGTGTTACAAGGGAGCGTGGGGAGGATATACTGAAGAGTCTTGCGGTGGTTGAACCAGATCAACCGCCTTCACCTTAATGAATATCCTCGCCTGGAATTGTAGAGGTATTAATAGTGCCTCTACTCAGCATTATGTAGGTAGGTTATGTAAGCATTATCATCCTAAAATTTTATTTTTAATGGAAACTAAAGCTGGTAGTAGTACCATGGTAAAATGACAACAGACCACGCCTTTTGGTCAATCTTTTGTAATAGACTCAGTAGGGTCTTCTGGTGGTCTTGCCTTGTTTTGGATGAGTGATGTCCAGCTAGATATTATGATGCATGATCAGAATGTAATAGTAGCTAGGGTACGCGAACCCTCAGGGCTTAGTTGGATAGCTGTTTTCTTGTATGGCCTTCCTAGTAGGCAGGGACGTGCAGAGTTTTGGTCTCATCTCAGTACCAATCTAAGCTCTTTTAATTATCCTATTGTGTTATTAGGAGATTTTAATCAGGTAGTTTCACAGGAAGATAAATGTGGTGGTAGATTAGTTAGGGATCAAGATATTGTTCCAGTGCGTCAGTTCCTGACACAGAACGATTTGGAGGAACTTAAACATATAGGTTGGTGGTACACCTGGACCAATAAAAGACAACAGGAAGAGACGATTTATGAAAGACTGGATCGTGCCTTTATCAACAGACAATGGTTATCTGTGTTCTCTTCAACTTCAATCAGGAATCTGCCTATTATGGTTTCTGACCATGCTCCAATTTTGGTGCAAGTTAAGCACAAGAAGCAGAAAACCAGACCTCGTCTAAGGTTT